TAAAAATTAACTAAAACAGATAAATGATTAGCAACTGTTGTGATATTGCATATGTAATTACTTAATCAGTTTAGATGACAGAAACAGAATATATATCTGTATTGTTTGTGAACTTTAAAAGAAAGTTTCTCTAAAGCGCCTATCTATATAAGATCAATCACGTGTTAGATCATGCAATGAATAACATTTAGCAATGGTACCTAAATTTTTCAGAAGCTATTGCTAGAACATTATTGCTATAAATTCTATATGTGACAAACAATGTTTTCACAGATACGAAAAATAGCGATACATTCTTGTTGCGATATCTAGAAATCTAGCTACATCAGTGAAATATTTTTTTGAGTGAAGTAATACAAATTTGTTCTTCTCTTTAATGTTTTTTTTCTTAATTACATTTCATTTATCAATCGATACTAAACTTTACCTCCCTCTGTTCGTTGGCTATTTCATTTATCTGACATATCATTGTAATCCAATATTTATCATTAATTCTAGACATTAAAGTGAGATTTAAAGTAAAAGGTTTCTCGATGAAATAAAATTACAAGGATTTGATGAATATATGAATACATTATTGAAAGAAAAGAGTAAAAAGCGAAATAAAAGGACGGAAGAAGAAATATTTCGAGATACAAATAAGCAATATTTATCTCGTTTTTTTTTTTTAAACAATTTATATGTATAACGAATATGAATTTTAAGGAGATTTGCACAAGATTTTATAATTTCTTATCTTTACATACAATGCCGTTATCTTTACATTATCGTTATTCCGACATTGTAACATCGTAACAATGCAGATACAACGATAACATCTTTATTATTGAAAAGTAGAGAGCCGAGAGATAAGTATATTGTATTCGAAAAAAACTCCACTCTGAGTAAGGATTCATTTCCGATATTAAATTCACTATGCAAGAAAAAACTTATGCCTGTCGTCGAGTTTTATTGTTCGCGAATCAACGTGCTTATCGATTATTCCAATCATTATTATGTGGTTTCAGTATCCAAATCTGATTTGTAAAATTGCACGGTTCCGATTCTATTTCGCTCAACTACACGAGCGTAATCATCAAGTCTGAGTATTTTGATCGTTTTTTTAGTATCATTAGCAAAATTGTATTGCTCATCGAGAAAACGCGAGATCGATCTTTTTCTAGTTAGTAAGATCCAGCTTAATCTCGATCAGCGACCGCGCCAATCTAAAGATTCAGAAGAGGTGGAAGAAGATAAACCAATCGGAGCGAAGCGCCTTCATCGCTTAAAGTTTGTTGGCGAAAGGCGTGTCGCTACGCCTTACGCCTCGCCGACAAAATGGCAATTCTCGTTGCTCGTAATGTACGTATAATCATCCGCAAAAGAATTGTAGATAACACTTTTTCTTCTATGAGTTTCAAAATATGACAAAAACTATGATATTGTGCTCGCGATTTTTATGCACGTTCAAATATTCGGTTCAAAATTTTTATATCTTTAGTATGAATGCGACTTTTACAAAAATTTTGATTTTAATGTCTGGATAAAAACGAAGTAATTCCGCGATTAAATAACAACTGCTTTTACTCAAAAATTTAAAAGCAAGCTGTAGGACGTTTTTTTAATTTAAATTAATTATCAATAAAATATAATTAATCTAATGAAATTTTCAGAGTTGAATAAGTTCCAACAAGCAGTCCAAGAATCCGTCTAATTAGATGTCTAATAAGTTCTGAGCGCCAGTCGGAATCAACGCTTACTTGAGGGCACTGCTGAATGCACACATGTAGGTATGGATTAGATTATGAATTAGATAAATATAAAAGCTACTAGACAATATCTATAAATTTTAAAAAGTGTGCGTTATGATAAACCGAAATGCAATATTAGAAAAATATATTTCGATAAAAATTCAGGAAAGAATATATCGATTTCAAATATTAAAATACAAAGATTAAATTTTCAATAAGTACCAAATAAAATTATTTCTGCAAAATTTTTGTTTAATAAGTAAAGTGAACTTTAAAGTAGCACAAGTCTTAAAATACATTTTTTTCATATATTTTTATATCAATTTTTGTCAGTAATAGATCGATTATAATGAGCGGTATAATAATTATTAGTATAAATGTGAATTGTTTATATGAATAATTAACTGACATAAAATTTGAAATATTGCATTAAATATAAAATGTTTAATAAACTTGCGAACTTTTGTACACAGAACAGAAGAAATCTATGTAAAAAAAGTTTTATTTAAAATAAAACAATTTTATTATATTTATCTTTACTTTTACCTAAAAAAAAGATTAATTTTAATTTTTTTAATTATCTTATATGTGCATTTTTATAACTAAAAGATTATAAAATATAAAATTGGGAGAATTAGTTTTAGCACTGCAGTCAGGAAGGATATTTGAAGTTGTTCTGTAAGTAAAAATCGAAAAATACGGTTTATAAAAAACCTATAATCATATATTTACTGAAAGTGCAAACGAGACAATGTACAACATAGAGGTGTGTAATCACACATCGAGCCGCGACGGCTTGAGACCTAAGCGATCGATTATATACTCTGGCATACAATAGGTAGGATTTATTGGTTTCAGCGCGAAATCCTTGTCTAACATTGATAATGCGGTGAGCCCAAATAAAGTATGAAAAGGATCAACCATATCTCCAGGTCGATCGCTAAAACCGCCGGTTTCCATGTCTTGACAAGTCAAAATATATTTTACCTGTAACAAAATTAAAAAGTTCTATTAGATTGTGATTTCTTGTTTTAAATCGTTAACTCGCTATCATAGACATTGAAATAATGAATAATCACAAAAGAGAAAAATGCTTAACCTAATATGCAATATCAATTGACTGCAAATTTGAAGTCTAATAAAATTAAAGAATAAGTTTGAAAATATTTACTTACCAAACCTTTTTTATCTATCCAATGTAGACGGCCTAAAATTGTTAGCGCCGACAGCACCCACCAAGAATAGCACACATCTGGCAATTTTTCGGGTCGACCGTTTAAACCACCAGAAGGTAACTGTCTCTCGCATAACCACCACCCCAAGCGATCAGCATCTATCAAATGTAAATGCCCTGGAAAATATTTTGATAAATAACATTCAATCGTTCCGAGACACTTTGTACAATAATATACTCTGCATACCTGTTATCGAAAGCAATCCTACGCAGCAATAAATTAAACCTGCATGACTCTCGGATCCTGGTTTCGAACCAAATCCTCCATCAAAATTCATAGATCTCAATACAAACTGCACAGCTTTCTCGACATCTATCGCATCCAACCGATTCTGAAATACATTATTACCATTATAAACAATTTATTTCAATTTTCATTAAATACATGCTTTCCCCTTTTGTAAACCAAAATAAAAAATTTACTTTTTCTGATGTATTTAATGATTCTATGGATCTGATAAGTATCATCCTTAAATCCACTAGCGCCTAAAGATTTTCAGAAAAGTGGTGTTTTCAGGGTATCCATTCTATCTCAAGAATTGATTTTTGTTAGATAAATCAAACGTTCCCATTTTTAAAACGCATCGTGCATATTCCAATGGACCACAAACTATTTAGGATACTCCTCGTGATATTTACCAAAAGTGATAAAGTGGCGACAGCGCAGAATGAAAATCTGACGTCGACCTCACCCCATTGATCACCCATAAAACTTCCATCAGCCTGTTGCCTCTCTTTGACATAATTTACAACTTTATCAACATTAATTACATCCAACGCATCGTACATACACAGTATTTGAACAGCACTCAGTGTATACAGTAAATGTGGATCGTGTTGCAAGCTGGCACCGATGCCACCACTATCATTTTGACACTGTCCAATAAATTCTAATACTTCTTCCTTATTGGTTTGCTCTAATTTTCCCATTAAATCTAGAGCTGTGAGACCCCAGTACATGCCAGACATCCTCATGTGTTCAGTCTGAGAATAATTCTAAAAATAAGAATATATATTAGTCTTAAAAATGTTATGAAAAAAGAAATATATTATTGGAATCATTAAAATCTATATATTAAAATCTATATTCAAGATATATACATATATGCACATATGTACACATTGCATATACATCTTTTATATTGATATCAACTAAATAATTATTAATCAACAAAAATCTACAACTATACATAATTGATTTCTATATATTGAAATAGCAAAAGATATTAAAATATATTCTTACATATTCATCTTTGTTGGTCCCATATGAAATGAGATAGTTTGCATGTTTTTCCATTACGAATTCTGGAATATTGCTCGGTAGTTCAATGTCATTCTTCACTACTGCCTGTAAAAAATGGAAATAAAATAAAACACAGTTTATCATTCCTTTAATAATCACATATCGACAAAATAATTTTTTTAAATCCTATTCTGTACAGACTGTGTCAACTTTTTCTTTGATAACAAAAGGTTAACTTACCATTTTACAATTGTTGTTTAACACACTTAATAAGTATAAATTATATTAATATAGTTAACTATTTAAATCTAAAATTTTCTTTTAGATTTAATTGATAAATTCATAGATAACCCAAAAATACTTGATAAAACTTGGGTTAAAAATAATTCGTTTGACATGACCAAACAAATTCCTATGTTCCATGAATATAATTTAGCAATTCTGAAATTCAGAATTCATGACAAGTACAATTATATTATATACTACTATAACTATAATTACAGAGATAACAAACGTAATAAATGACACGCAAAAATACGCAGTAATGCATGAATCGTACACATATATCAAGATATAGATATGAGTGCGACAAAATAATATTTCACTAGATGGACGGGCATCTAATATCCAATAGCAACACTTGTTTTATAGAAGGAAAATTACTACTAGTAAAAATTCCTAGAATACATTTCTCCTATTGGACATCGTATCTCATCAACTTCATTTTATACTTAATACAGGTTAGAGCTAAGTTAGGTTGGGTTAGGTTATGTTAAGTGTATGGTGCATGTTAGAAAAATAATACTTTCGGTATATTATTTTAAGCTTGAGCGAAAATGTCGGGACGCAGAAAGAAGAATAAAAGTAAATTATTGGAGAAGAGACGACGTGTTTTTAATAAGGAGCAGCGATACGAGACAGATGAAGGACCAAATATGGACAACGAGGCAGGTTAGATAGAATAGATTTTGTAAGATTTGTGTAATCTTTCTAATTCAACTTACAGAATCGACGGACGAACGGTCGATACCATTCCCTGTGGCTATGTGGGATATGGAACACTGCGATCCCAAGAAATGCTCCGGTAGAAAGTTGGCAAGGCACGGTTTGATAAAAACATTACGATTAGGCGCACGATTTCCAGGCTTATGTCTAACTCCGATTGGCACTAAGGTAGCTGATAAAAAAATAGAAAGAATGTTAATTTCATTATAAGTATTTAACAGTGAAATATCTTACAGTGCGTAAGTCCGACAGACCATGAAGTTGTGCAAGAGTATGGCTGTGCAGTCGTAGATTGCAGTTGGGCACGTTTAGATGACACTCCTTTTAACAAAATGAAAACGCCCCATCCTCGGCTATTGCCGTTTTTAGTTGCTGCCAATCCCATAAACTATGGGAAACCTTGCGAATTGAGCTGTGTTGAAGCTATAGCAGCTACTTTGATTATAACGGGATTTCCAGAAGAGGCTGAGTTCTATCTTGGAAAATTCTCATGGGGCCATTCATTCCTAGAGTTGAACAGCGAACTGTTAGAAAAGTATGCTTTTTGCGCAAATAGTGAAGAAGTGATTGCAGTACAAAAGGAGTTTCTAGACAAAGCCTGGCAAGAGAAATTAGATAGGCTTGGTAAAGATACTTATGTGTAATAACATATTTTCATGTTACTTTTTAATAACTTATTCTTATTTTAATATTTTATTTTTTTTTAGCACAACCTGATTTCCCACCCAGTGATACAGAATCTGAAGAAGAGGAGGTAAAGAAAAGTGAAAGCACTGTATCAAGTGTAACTGAAGAACTAGACAATGTAAAAATATAAAGTATGTTGTTAGATATTTGATAAAGTATTAAAAACATTTATATACATGAACATCTTTTGTATATTTAAAATATTTTATTGAAGTTTCAATTAATTTTGTTATTTAATTATTATGAATTTATAAGGTATATTACGATTAAGTCATTGATAAGTTTTTTATTTATACCTTTTTTGTAATATAGTGTTGATATGATTAATATAAATTTATATTAAATCGTAATTGTTCGATTTCTTTGTGCATACATCTGCGCATTATGTACAAATCCATTTTCTCTTCAAGTTTGTCGGATATTTAGGGCCACTATTTTCAAAATCGATTAACTTTAACTGACGGTTCCAATTTGTCGACAAAATTGCCAATATAAATAAAATTTATCGAAAAAGAAACAAATTTTTAATCTCTTTCTTTGATAACAATATTTTATTTTTTATATTAGCAGTTCTGTCAACAAGTTTTGAAATCATCGGTTGACGTTAGCCGACATTGGAAATAGCGGTCCTCAATTGGCTATCAGATAGAGAATTTTTCAAGTTTTCTTAATTCTTTGCTTATCAGCCAATCAGCACATTGGACAAAATTGATCATACAACAAGTGGGACATGAATCTATGTTGTTGGCTACTTTGTGTTCCATGATCGATGCACCGCATCATTTTCGAACGCGATTGCGTGTTTGATAGTGTGTTGTGGTATAATTGACTATTTTGAGGAAAGAGCAATTTTTTATGATGTCGTAAATAATGCAAAAAATACAGTCTATGACAAAGCATAATATGGCAATAAGTCGCGACTTTTGTCGAGTTACCGCGATATAATGCGAGTAATACGTGACACGGTGACGTGCGGCTACTCTTTATCTGAAATGTATCAATCTTATCGCGGTAGGCGCAAGTGTCCAATGTGTGGATAAACGCTCTGTCCGCCAACTAAATGCATACTAACGATCGCACATCGCTTATACGCTACAATACGCTATATTATACAATACGTATCCTGTAACTTGGTGCCACGACATAACGGCTATTCTTCGATTTAGACTCCTTGGCGAGACTCTCTCGAAGCTTCCAATGTTTGACAACTCTGGCCACAAAAGCGTGGAATTCAACTCCGCCTGATTTGTATACTTTGAAACGGCGACGGTTCAGAAACATCTGGTATTAAGCATGTATGTATTGTCACTACTTAATCGTTCATCTCAATAGTATTGTGCAAACAAATTAATATCTACAAGTAGAACATAGATTTAACACTTTATACCTTTCTTCTATTATTAAAAGGAACAAGTCTGTGGAGAATTTGTTGATCTCTAGTCACGAGGTAATCAGTAGTATCAATTCTTCTGGTTTGGGAAATCAGAGTTCTACAGGAAATTTAGGGAACACTTCATCTGTGGAAAATGTTCAGGAAACATCCACTGGTGGTGATCGTAACAGTCCTGTGTCCAGTCCCAACTTGTCCCCACGTCCTAGTCCAAGAGCTCATTCCAGACGAGAATATTCCAGATTAAATTCAGATTCATCTGCCAAAGAATCACTTCGCACAAATAAGTCTGACGATCAACTATCTCAAGTATGTACTGATTGTTCTGGCAGCAAAACTTATATAATGTATTTTGATTTGTGAAACATTTATATAACTTTTCTATAAATGCAGGATGTAATAAGTAGATCGTCTGACTCAGCTGATCTTAATAAAAGTTCCACTCATGAGAATAAAAAAGAGACACGTAGCGGTGATCGCAGTAAAAAGAAATCTTCCTGGTATAATGTACTTTATCCAACTTATAAGTCTCGTTCCGAGGACTTTAAACGAATATTTAAAGATGTACCCGATGATGAGAGATTGGTAGTAGGTAAGTATTGTTTTGAAAGTGTTGTTTTTGGTATGTAAGACTGCATTATACCATATTTTATTCTTTGTGAATTACTTTTGCTAAACTAACTTTGGTTTATATTCGTTACATTCATACAATATAAACCGAATATTTAACATTCCATGATTTAATTGTTCTAACGTTTTTAGATTATTCTTGTGCTCTGCAGCGTGAAATATTGGTACACGGTAGACTTTATGTGTCTCAAAACTATGTGTGTTTTTATGCTAATATATTCATGTGGGAGACATTGGTCTCCTTACGCTGGAAAGATGTCACATCTATTACCAAAGAGAAAACTGCTCTTGTCATTCCGAATGCTATCCTGATATGCACCGTTACTGATAAATTCTTCCTAACATCGTTTGGTGCAAGAGATAAAACATATGTTATGTTATTTCGTGTTTGGCAAAATGCTCTTATTGGCGAGGTATGCATACATTGTATATAACTAACAGATTATCTATTGTCCTTTTGAAAGAATATTTGATTTATTGAGATATATTTGCAAATGAAAAAGTTTGTCAAAAAATTGTTTAATCCATTGCTGAACTAAAATCTAAGTTTCAAAAAGTGGAAATATTTAAATGGATTATACTACAAAAACATTCAGTATTCTTGAAGTTTGTCTTCTTTAATAAAAAATTCTGCTATTTTTAGCCAATGAGTATGGCTGAAATGTGGCAACTTGTACATGCTTGCTATGGTGACGAATTAGGCTTGACATCCGACGACGAAGATTACGTGCCGCCGTTACCTGCAGCAGACGAGGACAAATTGTCAACTCGTCTTTCCGTAGAGTCCTTTTCCGAGGTAAGTTTTTTATTATAACAAGTGTAACATTTTTAATTATCAATGTGAAGTTTATAAAATAAATTTTTTAAATTTATTTCTTATTTAATGAAAATTAAAGGCTGAAGCAGCCACCATGGAAAATTCGATACCTGCGGATCCCTCTGATCATATTGCTGAACCTCAACTGCAAGTTCCAATACCTAAACCGGAATCTGTTCTTGATCCAACGGATTTGAGTGATACAACAGAAAGCGAGGCAGAAAAACATGGCTGTAAGTATATTTAGGCAAATCTTGATCGCTCATTCTTAATAAAAAATTTCTCTTAAACTATAAAATGCTAATGCACAAGAATGGTTAATGCACAAGAACATTATTTTATTAAAAATGTAATATTAAATTTATATTGTAAAGAGTTCTTCTGATTCCAACTAATTTAAATAGCTATTACTAAATATCCCAATGCTACTACTAAATATCCTAATGCTGACAGAAACAAAAAAATATATATTCATATATGTATGATACTTTGATAAGATGTTTATATCCAAACCTGCATTTTCTACTTGAATATGTACAAATGCTATTCACATCCGGTGGAATTATGCTACAGCACGTCATGATAACGCTTGTTCCAGTGAAAATGAATATACGGGGCACCATGGTCTGTACTTCTCTGCATGAAGGTCGGCAAGTTAACAAAGCAACAATACCTATTCACATCGACCAACTGTTCACCCTGCTCTTCACAAACTCGAAATTTTTCTTAGATTATCATACTGCGCGCAAAACTACTGGTAACAAAATAATATTTCCATTATTAGATTTAACATGCAAAAATATATCTATTTTGAAATTGAAAAATTCGCCTGCTGAAGATTGTTACATAGCTTTTTAAAATATTTTAATTCTTTAAAAATTAAGTTTAAAACGGTTCGAAAGAGTAAGCTTTTTGGTTCACAGTTGCATTTGTATTAATATATTATTTAATATCATGTATATACATAATTATATAATATGAATAGCATAAATTTATTTCTATCGTTCTTTTCTGATGTTTTTATTTATGTAGATTTAGTACAATCGGCATGGACGCAAAACAATCAAACTAATCAAAAGATGAGAACCATTTCATACACGATGTCTTTGACACAAGCTATTGGACCAAGGACTTGTCAAGTTACGGAAACACAGGTAAAAATACAATTCTAGCGACAACTGATCTCTGTCATAAGTTTTTTTTTTAAATACAATATATTATGTTACAGGTGATGTTACCATGCAGTAGACCGGGCCATCTTTATTGCATTGATGTAGAAAGTATTAATGCCGGTATACCTTACGCCGATTCCTTTAGCGTCTTTACTCATTATTGTATGAACAATATTTCCGAGAATGAGACAAGTCTTTTAGTTTACTCGCAGATTAAGTATAAAAAGAGTGTGTGGGGTTTCATGAAAAGTAAGTTCCCAGATTAAACAAAATCGCAGCTTGGAAAAAGAAGTATTGCGATCCACTTTTGCGTTGTAATATATAACAGTAATAATAATATAAATTGTCGAGCAATAAACTTACGAATTTTGTTCTCGAAAAATAGGTGTGATCGAAAAGAATTGTTGGGCAGGCTTAGATGATTATTTCACTAATTTAACAAAAGCACTAACGGTGGAGTGCGAAGAAGGTAGCGGAAGTGGAGGATTAAAGAGGAAAACGAGAAAACGAAGGCGCGCAGCGGGTGTAGGCTCTACTCAGACTCACGCTTCCGATCATACATCTGCAAATCATCAAATTTCTCCTTCAAACTTGCCGCACATTCACAGTAATATAATGCAATGTTTTTTTTCTGATATATTATGAATGTTATACTAACTCACTCAATCAAATGACGTTTCTTTTCTCTCACACAGCTGCTAGTACTAGAAGCGATACCAATATAATTCTTAGTTCAATGTTACTGGTTGCTGTGTTGTGTTTAGTGGTAATTAACGGCTTATTGTATTATAAATTATGGGGATTAGAGGAAGCTGCTGCATATACCATTATGGACCTACATGTACTCAAGTATGTGTTATCGATTTCTTTTATACGCAGAAATATTGTTTTTATATCACGCGTTATATAATGTCTTTTTGCTTCCAGAAATACGCCAAAGACTGAAGAAGATTGGATTAACCTTTTACAGCAGCAAGAAAGTTTGCACAACGTAGAGATGAGGAAATGGCAAAGAGTTTTGCACACAGCTGCACAATTACTTAGACAAGTAAGATTAATATAAGATTAAAGTTTTAGAAAGATAATAAATAAGATAATAAAAAGAAGATAACAGAAAAAAAACTAGATAATAAAATTAAATCAAATGCGATTTAATTAAATATAAATAAAATGCAAAGTAGTATTAGTTTACTAATTATACAAAATTTAAGATAAGTTTTTTAATATAAATTGAAATTGATTAATTCTTGTACGTTTCTTCTCAGTTCTGGATATCAAAGTTCAAAAATTTATTTAGCTATTTTTTTATATCTTATATATTCTATATAGAAGTTTTTTTTAGCTTTAATGTTAATATTATGTTTACTTTATAAGACAGAAGAATCTTTAACGGAACTACAAATGAGTATTCATCCTACTGCAACGGAAAAAATGTTCTCCGTATTGAAACCAAGCTTAAAGAGTCTCAATGCACATACGGACCGGCGAAGCAAGTCGGAAATGTAAAAATTTACATATATTAAGTAATTGTAAGAATAACACAAATTTTACGCATAATGTGTCGATTCGCGTTTACCGATAAATCTTCGCATCTAAAAGCTGTTAAAATGTGTATTTTTTCTATTATTCTTATTTTAAGATTGTCTATAGTTCTCCGTACGCTATATATGTGTATAGTTCTACGAATTACTGCGACTGTTATGTAGCAAATATTCATTGTATAGTACATATATTGAATGTAAACTTGCTTTATAATTCAGGCATTGTAAAGATAACATGATATCAAAAATAATAAATGATTTTTAGAACATTCCTTTGTGTGCATGTGTGTGTGAAATCGTCTAAGAATTTTTTTCGACAGTAGCAACTTCACAACATAATTTACAAGATCAGAAAATAGTATAAATACTTTAAGAAGGAACGGCTGAATATTTTGATTAGGTTGTTTAATCAAATAAAAGAAGATAATATAACATGGAGCGTAAAATTTTAAAACTGTATAAATGGAAATATATTCTTAGAATTTATTTCTCTTCTGGTTTATTGAATACAAGTGTGTATCCACATTTGCCACAATAATGACGATCCTCCATTGCCGCCATGAATACACCAGCACCACATTGTTCCATTGGGCATTCTCGTCTCAAACGGTGGATTTTTCCGTTTTCATCTACCTGTAAAATATTTCCCATGCCAAGTTTAAATATTTGCATCTTAACAATAAAAAAATATGATAGACGAGATAGTTGAATTATAGCTAAACTGTTACCTTGTAGTATTTTAGCACAGCAAGCTTGACCTTCTTCTTCTTGTGCTTGATCTTCTTTGGGGTGGAATAATTCTTCTTCTTGCGCTTCTTGGCACCTCCTCGCAAGCGCAACACTAAGTGTAACGTAGATTCCTTTTGTATATTATAATCGGACAAAGTCCTACCATCTTCTAATTGTTTGCCAGCAAAGATCAATCGCTGCTGATCTGGTGGAATTCCTGAAATAATGAAACGTCTTTTGTAATTTCAAAGTAATTAACATATCAACTCCAATAAACATGTACATATTATTATACGTAGACTGGTTTCATCATGATTTTATCAATGAACACTTGAATCAGCTAAGTCATTTTTTTTTGTTAAAATAGGAAGACTCGAGAAATTAATGTTTTTTTAAAATAAAAATGATAAGATTATGAAGCTATCGTAAAATATATTTTAAATATGCATATAAATTATGCAATCTTATTTTTTTGTGATGATTGTGTCTAATGATAAATCTCATTTATTACTTTAATTTATACTCTCTTTTCAAAAGTAGATTAAAGTAGGTGTTCATATTCAATATTTTCTCACCTTCTTTATCTTGAATTTTTGCCTTCACATTTTCGATCGTATCAGACGCCTCAACCTCGAGGGTGATGGTTTTCCCCGTAAGAGTTTTCACAAAGATCTGCATGATTAATGATTCTGTAACATTATGTTTCTTTGATTAGTTCATTAAATTTTATCATCAAAATCTATTGCAAAGAAAATCTGAGCAAGAAAATCACAAACATCATTTCAAATGTATGTTGAAAAATTTCTTTTCTTTAATTAAAACTTTATCTAAGATAATTAGATAATTATTTCATTAAATAATTCTGTAAATCAAAATAATTTCCTGTTTCAAAAGCAGTATACTAAAATGAAAGAGAATAATACTTCAGAAACAAACATGACATATTTGTATTATAATTCTTATCTTTATAACCTTTATTTTAGGAATTATTTATATAGTTAATTCTCAAAAATTTTTTTAGTGTTTTATCTCTTCTGAAAAATTTATATATGAGCGTTTTATAAGACATTATATTTACAATATCAATAAAGGTTAAAAGCGAAAGGAGATGGAATCTATTCAACATGTCGATCACTAAAAAAAGCAGTGTTAACCTCAAATATTCATCCGAATATTATCTTAATCAAATTCTGGTGCTGCAATAAATTACAACAATATGCAAAAAATACAATTTATGCATCGAAAGATAACGTATATATAAAAATATTTATTACAAAAAGCGTAAAATTATGTTCAAACCACGTTTATTACATTTGACCATGTGTTCGCAAATTTTTACCACCTCACAAATATAAGGGGATACACAAAGCTACAACACTACGAATCGGAAAAATTCAATGCCTTTCGTAATGAATCATCGAAATAAACGCAAAATGAATCACTTTTTTACTTAATTTGTGGAAAACTAGGAAAAGACCTACCTCCGCTAACGCGGCGAAAATACGGAAAAGAACATAGAATATGCCAACAATATTGAAGTTCCACTCTGTTTTGTGTGATACCGGAAATAGTGATTCCAACGCCATCTAAAGACTGGTGGTTACAAAATGTAAAGATGTATCCACATCAATTTTCATTCGTACGAAACATAAGGAATCATTTATCTCTCACAGAGATATTTGATTATCCATTACATCATTTCTTATCATTTGTAACGCGTTAACGCGATTATGATCATGTCTGATATACACTGCTAGTACTGAAATATTATAATGTATATAACGTGACTATATAGATTTCAGTAGACAGTATATATTAAAATAACTGTCAATATAATTCAACAAAATGATTCAAATTAATATTCACGTCTATTGTCTATTATCGACATTCGCAATGATATAAAACATATTATTGTCTTATTAAATTTATTAATAAAATAGTTTTTTAATGTCGCTATAAAAGATAAAAATACATATAACACCAGTGTATGTATAGAATGAGTTATGAAAACTTAGTTAAACTTATACATTTTAAGACTTATGTATTTCCTTTTGGAACCAATTATTCAAAACGCAGTACAAGACATAACAAATCAACCTATTCAGCAAAAACGGAAATATTACCGTAATAAATAACGTTGAGATCTCAAACATATCAAATTTTCTCCTTTGTTGCATGAATGCAGTTTCTCCTATTAATCAAATACAGTTACATACGCTATGTACAGCAATCTCTTAGAAAACTTTAAGAATAACAATTGTGTTGATCTATACAAGCAGAACCGCATTAATGCATCCATCATTCTCAGGATTATTTGTAACTTGTGCGAATTTACCCCATACAACTTTGCCCGATTGTGTAACAAGACCTAATTCTGAGATATTAACTTCTATAATAGTTCCCTTAGTGATAACGCCTAAACTTGTGTACATTGGAGAGCTCGGATTTTTCTTCACGCCAATAATCGGCAGAGAGAATGTTGCTTTCAACTCGGGATGTGTAACGTGTGCAGTTTTGAATCTCAGCGCCATTGGTCTGATAAATCTTTCGAATTTTGGCGGTTTCCTCGTGAAGTTCTCTCCAACAAAAGTTACTTTGGTTACCATCCTCTTCCATGACTTTCGCTTTGTCTTCCCAGTTCTTAGTACTTTAAAAACTTCAGATTCCGACTGTGCTTTAACTTTAGGTATCGGAACGTCCCATTTACCAGCTTTCTCTTTGCGTTTTTGTTTTATCATATTAGATAGTACTTTCGCACGATTGGTAACATCACGATCCAGCAGATATACAGGCAATGCTCCCTCTGGTAGCTTGTCAGACTTTTCTTTGACTTTTTTCTCTTCGTGAGCTTTAATCTTTTTCTTCATCTGAATTTTTTCATTGCGCCGTTGCTTGTTGAAGATTTTGGCTTTTAGACCACGTAGAGTACGAGCCTTCTCCGACAGTTTATGAGGCGCACGTGCTTCCCTTTTCCTCTTTCTTTCTTCATAATCCAAACGGCGACCGTAGAGCTTACGGTGCCTCTCAATGTACTCGTTCTGCGGCATTTCTCTATGTGGATTTTTGTCCTCGCATAAAATTAATCCTTTCAGAAAAAAATTGTTTCATTAATTTAATAAACCTTAATTATTTATAACATATTTATATAATTTATGGAATATACATACTACAAAAAGTGTAAAATTACAACTGAATCATGTTGATCACACTTAACCATATTTGCAATTACTTTCGTCACACCGCAAATATAAGACAATAGATTGGAAAAATCCAATATCTTTCGTAACGAAACATCAAAATAAACGCAATAGCGTTAAATTGAATCTCTTATTTCATTTTATTTGTGAAAAATTAAAAGACCTACCTCTGATCACGCGGTGAAAAACAAATAGGTAGAAACGAGACCTTAGAATATGTCAATATTGAAATTACACTCTGTTTTGCACGGTACAAAAAATAGCGATTTCAACGCCATCTAGAGACTGATAGTTACAAAATATAAAGGTTTATTCACATTATCTTGCATAACCATATAGTGTTTTCGAATAAACGGATTTTAATCCATCATGGATTAATTAATCACTCTTTCTCAATGTATCCAATATAGAAACGGATGTCGACAACGTTATCGTAATAAACTAATTTACTTTAAACAAAAATAGCTTTCGTAAACCAGTTAGACGATAAAAAATAGAAATAATTTACTTCTACATTTTATATAAAATATATATTTTTAAAAATGTATACTATATTATATATATTTTAGCCAAATATTTTTAGACTAATTTATCTTTCGATATTAACTATTGCCTCTTATTTAAGTATATGTTAAACTATTGTTAAATGTAAACAACTAAAAATTATCTTGTATAAATATATAAGAATACAGTGTACTTATAAATAAAAGTAAAATTAAACATTTTTCAAAAATTATTTATTAAATAAAAAATTTACATTATGCTTGATCACTGGTTGGCATGGATTTAATGATGTCAGAATTACCAGGATCTGTAATCGAAAGAGTACAAACGCGGAAGTATTTACCACAAGCTGTACCTAATTCGATATTGTTTCCTGAGTAATGATGTACCCCAGTTTTGGCTAACATGGCGTAGTACTCGATTTCCGACTTCCTGTTAAATCAAATATCATGTTTAGTAAATGAACAGAGTAATAATGTGACGCTCCATGCACTCACAAGCAAGAGCAGGAGACTACTCCATAGAACTCCTTATTATAATATAAATTGACATAAATGTATGAATTTTATTAATTTCTATCAGTTTCAATATAAATATGATATGTTTAACACAAAAAAATTCTAGAAAAGTTTCCTTATATTTAAATATTAAAAAACTTTTTTAATTGTTCTTCTTAATTAAATAATTTGTAAAAAAAACTATTATGTCAATTTATTGTAGAGAAGGAGTACTACTTCTCAGTCTCACCTCAACGGCGGCGTATTACTAGCAATGATGACCAACTTGGCTTTGCCTTGGCGAAGAGACTTCAGAGTTTGCTTATAACCAAGAACATATTTCCCCGATTTCATGACAAGTGCCAATCGGGTATTAATGCTCTCTTGAGCCTTTTTCTGGATACACAAGTAATAAAATATTATTAAACATATTTATTGTTATATTTCATATTAAAATTAAATAATCTTTTCTGTATCTCATCTCACAATTAAGGTTAGAATTAAAAACTGCTATTTTATGTAAAAGTTTACGCCTAAGACAATTACAAGTGTAATTCGCGTACATATAATTAAACAGGTTAAAGAAAAAATAAGATACGATAATTAAAGTGTTAGTCTATATATATAAATGACCACGTGGATGGAAAAATGCATTTACCTGTTTTTTCTGCGCGACCATTTTTGCAATGGGCAATTTTTTCTGGCTGGAATGAGATTTGTGATTATTAATCATTATGTGATCGAATAATTAAACATATAGAATAATAAACGTTCGGAACTTTAATTTCACGTAACATACCTCGTGCAAAGCAAGCGTTGAAAGAGAGAATGGAGGCAAAATTTCACGACATATGTAGATGGAAATGCTTCCATTCGAGCCAACACCACATGCTACGTCATCACACTTGTTGATAAATTTGATTGGCTATCTAATAAAGCATTTTGGACTACTGAATTCTAATACCCTAGAATGCTCCGTAATTTTAAAATTTTAGGACGACGAAAAGAGCAGCAAATTAAGTCTGTCTCTTTTTGTGATACATTACACAGATCACTATTGAGGATAAATACTTTCAATGCATCTGTTAAAGAAAAAAATACAACTAACACATTTCATTATATGAAATAATATTAAGATTTAATGTGAATATAAACTATTTTTGATGTTCGTAGAAAATATACGATTTCGTACTGCATATCGGATGATCGTAAATCAAACGCTGTTTAAATCTGACATAAGGTCTGTTCCTTTTAGCTGTATTTCTGTACTTTTTTTTATTTTTCTTTCTTTTTTCATTTAACGCATCTGAATTTATACTTATTTCATTTTGAGTGTAAAAAGTGTAACATAATGCATTTGGAAGGAATGAACCTACAACCTACAACATTGGCCCAAAAATGATTTTTTTACTAATTGGGTGACTGTTAATCAGTTGTAATTCGTCGTTTATAAATACTTGTGTCTCTTGTGTCTATATACGAAAATTAATCATTCAGTGCAATAATAATGTTATGAAGGAGATCATAACGCGTGTTCAAAAAAAAAAAAAAAACACGCAATTATGACATTGAAATGATAAGATAAACTTCAATAAAATCATAAGATGATAATACAAGTATGACTATATTGTGAGCAGGTATTTATGGCAACGTGTCTGTTTTTTTATACTGTTTGAACATTCGAAAAATGTGTTAAGAAATTACATTGTATTCAATACTTAAACTATTATATAAACAATGCTTAATTTACATAAATTAAAATATTAATTTTAGTAGAGTTGTAACTCTTCAAGATGGAACTAAAATGTGCAGTTCAAATGTACAATTGGGGGAAAAATGGTATGGACAGTATGGTTGCAACTTTAATGAAATCAGCTAATGCTGATTTTGTAGTAGACGAGCAAAAGAATTATGCAGAATTATGGATGGGTACTCACGAGAATGGTCCATCATATCTCAAGGATGCAGATGTCTCTTTGCAGAAATATATTCAAGAGAATATCGAGGTGTTAGGTAGTGATACAGTACAAACATTTGGCTCTAATTTGCCCTTTCTCTTTAAGGTCTTGTCTATAAATAAAGCTTTGTCTATTCAAGTGCATCCAAATAAGGTAATCACATTTTTCCATTGAACACATAAGAATAGTGTAACATAATTGATTTGAAATTTTAGGAAAAGGCGAAAGAATTGCACAAATTGTATCCAAATATCTATAGGGATCCAAATCACAAACCAGAATTAGCGATAGCTTTGACTCCTTTTGAAGCACTCTGCGGATTCCGTCCAATCAATGAAATAAAAGATTATTTGAATAATATACCGGAGTTGGTTGCTGTGATAGGAGAAGCCAATGTTAGTTTGTTACTTCGAGCAGCTGATTCTATGGTCAGTGATGTTTTGCAACAGTGTTTTCGCAGTCTTATGACTTGTGATTCTAATGAAGTAACACGACAGCTGAAAAACTTGATAAACAGATTACATGATATAGGTACTGGTTTCTATTTATAAAATATATAATATATATCATGTGAAGTAATTCTGTGTGAAAAGAAAATATGTATAACTTTTTCTATATTTCCTCTTACTTGAGATTACTTCTTTGATGTTTTATATTGTGATTTATTATATATTCTGACATTTTTGTTTTTCCTCTCTGAAAAATTTTATTTTTTTTTTTTTTCAGATGATTCTTACAAGCAGTGGATTAAAGCTGATCTGTTAAAACGTCTGCATATGGACTATCCTGGAGATGTAGGCTGTTTCACGATATACTTGTTTAATTACATGATGTTGCAGCCAGGTGAAGCGATATACATTGGACCAAACATACCTCATGCGTATCTTTCTGGCGGTAAACTATTCTTGAACCTGGAATTTATATATAAAATATGCCTTTAAACATACAAATAGAAATGGTCTATTGAACTTTTAATCCAAACTTTCAGATTGCATAGAGTGTATGGCATGTTCAGACAACGTAATAAGAGCTGGTCTGACACCAAAACTGAAAGATGTGCCAACTTTAATACAAATATTGTCATTTGAATGTGAATCTCTTTCTGCCAAAAAGATTCAACCATCTCGGGAAGACTTATTTACCGAAGTTTTTCGTCCGCCAATGCCAGAATTTGCAGTTGCTAAAATCACTGTAAGTTTTGATGTATGGCCATTTAATGTTGACAATTAATTATTGTATCTTGTTATGTATACATTTTCGAAATACTACACAGCTACCGCCTGGACGACCTTCCTATAACTTAAAACCAAGGAGCTCTGCTAGTATTCTATTGATAGTGGATGGTAAAGCAGGAATATCTTCCAAAATCTTTTCTCGTGGCTCTGTTCTATTTATCCCTGCCAATGATGAAGTGGAAATTAAAGTTTTATGCGGCTGTCATCCCATGCTAATGTTTCAAGCATTTCCAAACATTTAAGAATGCCAAAATCGACCAACAAACTTCTATAAAATTTGCGAGATATGATTAATCTTTAACATTGAAACAATTGGTATGTCTTACACAATTTTTGGCCTGCACAGGGATATCGATTTTTCTAACCATCACAAATGTACAATCTTTTTTTTCCAAAAACCATAAATCTTAAAATAATTGTGGATTTATATTATTTAGAAGCGTTTATATTGAAAAACACTCAACTTTATTAGTAAATTATATTAATAAAGCTTATTAATAATAAAGAATTATATAAATATATATGAATAAGAATAGTCAGTCATCTTCCGATTCGTTGCCTTTCTTTGAAGTACTCTCTGCAGGCTTTTCCTCTTCTTTGTAATGTCGATATTCCGGTTTCAATTCCCACATGTTTCTATGGGGATTTTTTAAATTATAGTTACACACTTCATTTAGGATCTCTTTCAAATAAACCTGAAATTCACATAATATGTGGCGTTAAATAAAATTGAAACTTCCAAAGTAAACTATATATGTACATGTAAAATTCTGAATAAATAAGAAATATATTTACAATTGGTTGTCTTGTGATTTTTACAAGATCTCTTATATTATAATATTGATGTTTTTCGAATGCTGCAAAAAGCATATCTAACACAGCTTCTTTATCATCTCTCATCTTCTTTCCTTCTGCTTTTTTCTTTTCGGCATATTCAATCTGTAAAATGTTACGTATGAGAAATCCATTTAATTGTGTTAAAACAGCTAAAAAATATTTACATTATGTTTGTGATCTGATACAGGCTTGAAGTTCTGCACAACTCTGTCTAATTGTTGAACTTGTCTTTGTGGCACAGAAGCTCTTTTGATGCTTTCCAGTTTTAGTTTCATATAACAATTATCAGCTAAAAAATCAAAGGAGATTATTTAGAGGATATTTCTAAGAAAACATTAACATTTTTGTAAGAAAATAAATATACCATATGGTCTGCATTCTAATTTTTGTACAATTCTTCCTTCCATAAAAAGTTTTTCTGATTCTGGAACAATTGTATCTGAGCTTGTGGATGCTGTAAAATTAAAAATAGATATTAGAGATACATTAAACTTAAAAATTATACCAAACTTACGGGCAACATGTGAAAACACTCCTAGCATTTGTCTAGTAACTGTTGTAACATCTAGCCTATGTTGTTTCGGTATTTCTTCTTCTCCAGATTCTTTCAGAGCTAAGACAGCTTCTGATAACTTAAGAGATACTTCAGCTTTTTGCCCAGGATTTCTAAAGAATTTATAGATAATAATAAAGATTAATATATTTATAGATTGTGTTATTGTATTTAATTTTGACAACAAAGGCTTCTAAATATCTTTATGATAAAAATAAAACGTTACATCTGTCAACTGCGTTACATGATTAAAAATTTTTACTTTAAAAAAATGGTTTGCTTCTATTCTTTAAGAGTTTTTGCTTTGCATTTAGAAATATTACCAATGTTTATCTCTTATTGAAAATAATTTTTTGAATGTAGTAATAAAGACAAACTTACTTGGTAATTTTTAATTTGCCGACTTCTACATTGCCAGGAGCTTTCTCCCATTTATTAGCTATGTATTTAGGCACTTTAACAAGCCAAACACCTCGACCAGCGTTACTCAAATCCAATTCTCTTTCTGTATGCGATACATTTGTTGACATTTTAATTATTTTTTTATATTGTAACAAGAAAGATATTTTCAAAATATAATAATATTGTGTTCTTTTTGTAAAATGAGCAAATACAAGATTATTTGTAAAATTTAAAACACTATCACTAACACACTCATCAACACCAGACAGACCAGACTGAATGTCAGGTTGGAGGACACATCAAAACTGGACAACGTGCAACGGCCAGAAAACGCCTAATCACGTCCTTCAATTTTTACTTTTCTTTCTTCTAGGGTCCTTAAGGACAGTTAAAGCGCCATCATATGATGTAACTTGAAAACTCAAACAATTTCACTCAAATCATTTGGTTTGAATCTTGACTAAAATTTGATCCAATGGTTTGAAAAACGCGATTAAAAATACGAATCACTACGTCTATAATTAAGATAGAAATAAATCACAAATTGTATTTTCGATAGACAATGCACATTTTATAAAACATAATAAATATGACAGTATCCATAAACTCACCTGTCAATAGATATTTTTTTTTTTTTGCTTAAATTTATGTATTCCTAGTTTGATTAGCATTTCAAATACTGATATATTGATTTTCTACTAGCACAATTGGAAAAACAGCACAAGGTTATAATTAAAATGATTATTTATTAAGATACATTTCTGATTTCATAAATTATCGCTTTGTTATAACCGCATAATGCTACTTTTTCTTCCATGGGATGCCAATATCCGTCTACGATTGACATATTTTTAGATATCGGTATAGATCTTGCATTTTTTCGCGTCCATTCATACACACGTGTACACTCCGAGAAGACAAGCAATCGTGGATGAATAGGACTCCACTTGACAGCTAAAGCAACGAAAGTACAAATGTATTGACGTTGTTTTAATAAAAGAGATAGATTAACTTTTACAACATACCTGTGATAGGATTTTCAACTAACAAATAGTCAAGATAATCCGTACAAACATCCCAAATCCATAACGTAGTAGGATAAAGCTCGTGCTGCAGAGCTAAATATTGTCCGCATGTACTAAATTCAAATAGTTTAAACTTTGCGATCGAGAAATTATTATCAACCTTTTTACCGATTTCTATGCATATAGGTCGTTCATGTATTTCGTGCACTAAAATTATAAAAAAAGTTAGACAGTTTCGAAATATTCATCTTATAAAACTAATTAAAAAAGAAAAGAAAAATTTTTTTAAACTTTTTTAGATAAAATAACGTTTTAACGTGCTAATATAGTTACAAACTGTACTTACAAACACATTCCTCGGGAGATGCAAATCGTTTATCAGAAGCTTTTTCTGAATCGGCATATTCCTTATATACTTTCGTTAAATAATTACATTCCCTGATTACTGGATCTAAGTACAATTGCGACAGTGGTTTCCAGGTAATGTAATTAAGGAGGACAACCTATATGTTAGTTTGAATAGCAATAAATATATGCAGCACAATAAGCAAAACAATAAGATATATAGCGAGATAAATTACCACTTCATTAAATCCAATTACGGCTAATAATTGTCCACTGGGAGACCATTCAATATTTTCGATTCCTTTCAATTCTCTCTCATGATTGTATGTTACTTCAGACAACTGAGTGGTTTTCAGCGGAGAGAAGGTAGCCACAGGTTTCTCGCATACGGTAGAATAAATAATAAGCTTAGGCTCGGCGGGAGAAGAACACCATATGCATAATAATTCATCGTTTGGCGACCAGCGAATTCCATCAATGCTATGTAAATGATCACAAATGAGTTTCTGAAACAATTAATAAAATCATATTACGCGCCAAAATTATAAAAACTTCTCTAGGGAATTTTGCTAGCTGACAGACTGAGTTTTTCTTTAACCAATCAAAATCATTAGCGATTGTTGTTGACAGAAAGGTTGCGACACTTTCTACGAGTTTTGAAACGTGCAAAAATTGTGAGGTTACCTCACGAGGTTAATCGCAATGGTCGTTGCTGTCGTAACATAAATCAGTGTTCAAAATATTCTCGTAACATTTTATACATGTAAATTTTTCTAAAATTATTTTGGCATGACGACGCGTTACATTTCCTGTTCGTGCAATCGCATTCCCCATTGCGCCGATTGGGGTAGCAACGATCTCGTTTGCTTCGGAACATGCAACGCGATCGCTATATACGAGCCGTCCACGCAAATCGGCCGCATCACTCAGACACTGCATCGGCATCACGATCATGTCAACACGGTGCGCTGGATAAAGCCGGGGAACGGCGCACCGGAATTAGAATTGCTGTCCGGTTCCGTGGACGGTACCGTGATCATTTGGAGCAAAGATCGTGAAGCCAACACTTTCCGAGATACCTCGGTGTTGGATGTAAAGAATATCGTTACATTTGTCGATTCTCTTCAATTATCCGCTAATGATTCGTTTGCCACGACTCTCCCAAAGCTGTTGATATGCGTAGGCTCGATGAATGGAGAATTAAAATTATGGTCAAGACAAGAGAATGCAGATGTCAAAGTCATTCAGACTATTTCCTTTGGAAAAAAATTACCGATATATTGTCGTTTGACATATCTGCCGAATACCAAATTTCCCCTTCTGGCTGTAGCATTGGAGGATACTTCTATCTCACTGTATACTAAAGATTCTGATATACTGGAATCAAACTTTATCAAAGTTCAGATTTTAACTGGACATGAAGACTGGGTGAGATGTATGGACTTTACTCACGACAGCCAGGGAAATGCCTTTCTTGCAACAGGCTCACAAGATAACATGATACGATTATGGAAGATTAGCGAAACTGTTGTGCAACCACCAAGCGATGAATTAGAACAGAAGAAAGATATTTTTACAATAAATGACAGAGAATATAATGTTACTCTGGAATCTGTTCTTTGTGGTCATGAAGGCTGGGTTTATGGAGTACATTGGCAACCTACAGAAGGGAAAAACAGTAACAATATGAGATTATTATCTTCTTCATTGGACAAGTCTATGATTATATGGGAGTTAGATGACACCACTGGAATCTGGATAGAAAAAGTACGCGTCGGGGAAGTCGGTGGTAATTCTCTGGGCTTCTACGGTTGTAAATTCAGTTCAAATGGACTACACATAATGGCACATGGTTTTCAAGGTTCTTTTCATATCTGGAAATATTCTCAGGAAATTGCAAATTGGATTCCAGCGTCTGCACCTAGCGGCCACTTTTCTGAAGTAGTGGACTTATGCTGGGAACCTAAAGGAAGGTCTGTACATATCTCACACATAGAATAATTTGTTATTATTTTATTTAATTATTTATAGCATCAAATTGTCGATAAATGTGCAGTAATAGCTAGGAAATTCAAGAAATTAATTTGTTGACTAAATCCGGTTTATCTTTCATATAAAAATAGATAAAGAACAAAAGGAATGGAGAGATAAATGTCTTATGATTTGCAGATTTCTCGTCACAGCCAGTACAGATCAAACCACAAAAATTCATGCACCATGGAAGGATGGTCTTAAAGAGTTATGGCACGAGATTGCGCGTCCTCAAGTACACGGATATGATATGACATGCTTAGTTATGTTAGCACCCTACATGTACGCTTCCGGGGCAGAAGAGAAAGTGGTGCGCGTTTTTACAGCCACGTCAGCATTTAGAGATCGTTTAAGATTGCTAGCAGATACTGAGGACTTCAAATTCACAGCCCATGGTGCTACTGTACCCGCCCTTGGATTGACCAATAAAGCAACGTTTAATAAAAAAGTTGATCAGTGCGAAAGTAAAGAGAAGCCAGCGATAAATATTGTATATAAACCACCTACAGAAGAAGAATTGGCACAAAATACACTTTGGCCAGAGTTGCAAAAGCTTTATGGACATGGCTACGAGATATTTTGCATGGCGGCGAGACGTGATGGACAATTGCTAGCCACGGCATGCAAATCAACTAGTGTAGAACATTCGGCAATCATATTATGGAGCACTGACACATGGTCGCAAGTTCAGAAACTAGTCTCCCACCAATTGACCGTGACGCAAATGGAATTCTCTCCAAATGGCAAATATTTGCTATCTGTTTCCAGGGACAGAAGATGGTCGTTGTTCAAAGATGAGGGCGGAAGTTATACGTTAGTCGCTGTCAGTTCAAAGAAAGACAGTCCACACTCGCGAATAATTTGGTGTTGCGCTTGGACACAGAATTCAAGATACTTTGCCACTGGTTCCAGAGATGGAAAAATTGGTATATGGTCCACGAAGATGATGGATGATAATACTGAAGGTGTTATACTAGAGACGACACTAAGCATACAAAACCAATCAGTCACAGCATTGTGTTTTGCATCGAGCTGCACGCAAGGATCTTATATTTTAGCCATCGGATGTGAAACTGGACGCATAGACATTCAAAAGATCACTATGAACGCAGAGAATGTATGGTCACAACTTGTGACATACGATACTTCCCAGGCTCATCATTTGACTGTGAAAAGACTTATGTTTCGACCTGACAATGAAGATTCATCCAATACATTGCAATTAGCAAGTTGTAGTTTGGATTATTCCGTTAAGATACATGATATAGATCTATCAAAATTATCAATAAAAACATGATTTTTACAATACAACTTCTGCTCTAACAATCCACTGTTTCCACATAATGCAATCTTAAGAAAAAAATTATCTATTTTTGACACTTACCCGGCTTATCTTCCAATTTTCAGTTTTGTAAATTTCTACTTTATCTCGGTCTTCTTCTGTTATTATTACAGCCAGTTTCTTTCCATTGGGATTAAAATGTAATTTATCAAAGGCAGAAGTTTTTAAATTTTGTATGTATGATACATTCTGATCTTCCAAGTTCCAAATAGATATTTGAATCTATAAACATCCAATTTTATTTTCACACTAACCACGTAAGATGCAAGTTGCTTTTTTTTCATTCACAAGTATATTATCAATAAATTGTAATGTACTTGTAACGTACTTACATTAAAATCTGCTACAGTAAGAATGTATTTACTATCTGGAGACCAAGTAACATTTTGCAAGCCTGCACTTCCTTCGGTAAGTTTACATTTCCACTGAGGATTATGCACTGAATATACTTGAATGATAGCTTTTTTTTATATTTGCACATAAAATAAATTCACTATTTGAAGACCATTCTATGTACTGTAATGTAACAGAAAAGAGATAGAGTATAAGTATTATCCACTAATGACAACACTTTTAAATAATGAGTTTTCAAAGTAATTAAGTTTCTTTCTTTACAATTTGTTAATATAACCTAACCTGTATCACATCTGCAAACACAAACGATTGACAAGTAGTAAGAGTCTTTGCATCCTTTATAAGTAAATTCGTCTGAAATGCAATGGCAATATATGCTCCATTATTTGAAAAATGGCACAAACGATTGTTTATGCGAAAAACTTTCTCTTCATTAGCGGCCATTATAAAAAATTTAAAATCTGCGGTTTCTTTGAATGTCAGAATTGCCAATTGCCAATGTTTCAATGTTCCTAGATGTTTACGGTCTTGATTCATAAATATTTATAGATGATACATTCTATTAAAAAGAACGAGCATTAGCTATCATATGCAAATGCCTTAATACTATTATACAAGAAGGTATTTACGACGTCTGACGTATACTCATTCTATGGTAATAGCTGTCAAGTAACGGACGTAAAACAGAGCAAAACAGAGTTGCTGTTAGAATGAAATGATGTGTGATGCGTGCAGTGTGCAAAGCAACAGCACCGAGAGCAGTGAATTTAAAATAAGATTTTCGGTGTCTAATGCGTCTTTGATACTTCGTCGCTGAGAGAGTGCGGGAAAAGTATGTCGCGATAACGTGCGTGTATCACTCGTTCGTTTGCGCAATGACGAATTTATACGCTCGGCATTCTTCGTTCTACGCGGAATTCGTATAAGGGCAGCTTCGCGGAAAGGATCGGTCGTGCTGCGATGCCGCTGTGTCTCAGCGGGCCGCGGAATAATGCATTGTTGACGAGGGCGGCAATCGGAAGGCACGCGTTCTCATGCATGCCATCGACGCGGTGAACAGAATGGGCAAGGAAAACGGTTCGTGCTGGTGGTGTGTGAAGGTCGTCAAGTGGATACCAGTTATCTTCATCTTGACGATTGTCGCGTGGTCCTATTATGCCTATGTGGTGCAATTGTGCTATTGTGAGTATTTGATGTTGATTTTTTTACGCGATTTAACCGAAGAAGAGAATATTGTCGGTATAAAGCTGATGACGTTTTCGCTAACCTTGTCTTATCTCACGTATAGGGTGTCTTATAAAAATACATGCATTTTGTTGTATTACCTGTTTTATTCATATCTGATCTTTTTCCTAACTAGAGGTTCTCAATGTGTTTTATATACTACAAGTTAGATTTTTTATTTTCTTGAAAGTAATATAACATTCTTGAGATAAATAACATGAGCGATTATTAAAAATGTGAAAATGATACAAAGCTATAGATTAGAAACATAACAAAGTTGCATTTAGTATTACTATATAATAAAACAGATGTATATATATATATATATATAATACATTTATTTAAATTATAAAAAGCTACTTTAAATAAGGCTTCTTATTTTGCAGCTATGCTACAAATGTATAAACATCTAAGTCCTATAGATCTGTAATATAGTTGCAAAATCAGACTTTTATCTGTAATAATAAAAGCTTTTCACTACATTATGATCTTCTGATTGTTTCAGATACAATAGATAACAATATTCAAAAAGGTGTGTATTCTGTACATTATTTTAATTAAGTGTTTGACAACTTATTTAATTTCTCTGCTTTATTCTTATAATCAGTTTTGTTTATATTAGTAATTATATTGTGAAATAATTTTTTATATTGTAACTCCTAATATTATTTACATAAACTTTAATTCTGAGAATTAATTGTACATATATACATAATACCTTTATTATTTATGTATGTTAACAGCTTTCTACCTGCTTTTCTTCCACGTCTTAATTCTGATGTTTTTATGGTCATATTGGCAGACAGTATACACAAATTTAATGCCAGTGCCAGATAAGGTAATTCGTCTAATCTACATCAATTATACAGATGTTTATTTATCCTTCTTTCTTAGCATAATATGATGACAGTATTATATGTTACAGTCTATATTTTTTCTATATATTTTAAAAAATTTACAGTTTAAAATACCTGATGTTGAAATGGAGAAATTACGGCAAGCTGAAACAGAGGAAGTACAGAGGCAAATTTTAGAAAGATTCGCACAAGATCTCCCAGTTACTAATCGTACTATAAAAGGAGGTAATTTATTTGTAGCAAAAAGATGATTTAATGGTATAAATTGATATAAGACTTTTAAGCTTATGCATATATTGTATTTTTTTCTTTAGCTATGCGATTTTGTGAGAAGTGTCAGTTAATAAAGCCTGATAGGGCACACCATTGCAGTGTATGTAGCACTTGTGTCTTAAAGATGGATCATCACTGTCCATGGGTGAACAATTGTGTAGGCTTCCACAATTACAAATTTTTTATGCTGTTTCTAGCATACGCACTTCTCTACTGTATGTTTATTACTGCTACATCTTTGCAATACTTTATACAATTTTGGAAAGTGAGTAAGACTTTTTCTTTTATATGAAAATATTTAGATTATATAATGTTAAAACTTAATATTTATATTAATCCCATTTCAATTTGCAATTGTGATAATTGTGTAAATTTTTTTCTTTATAGGGTGAATTAGATGGGATGGGTAGATTTCATCTGCTATTTCTTTTTTTTGTTGCGTTGATGTTTGCAGTCAGTCTTACCTCCCTTTTCTTCTACCATTGCTATCTCGTTGTTCATAACAGATCAACTCTAGGTAATTATCAAATATCTTGGCTTGAGTGTTGTATTATACACTTTTTGTTTAAAATATTAACACTATATTTGCAGAGGCCTTCAGAACGCCTATGTTTCGGACAGGAAAAGACAAGGATGGATTTAGTCTGGGAAAATACAATAATTTTCAGGAAGTGTTTGGTGACAATCCACGGATCTGGTTTCTTCCTATGTTTAGTAGGTATGTATGTTGCATATATTTTATACTTTATATGCGGTAAAATATTGTGTAACTTACGAAGTGGGAACCATTTGCACAATACACAATAACTGAACTATTATATCAATTTGTATGCTTCTAGTATACCGCCTATCATAATCTTTACCGTAAAAAAAAAACAACTATGCAGTTTGGCATATTTAAATGAAATTTGAAATACGGTAACATATGTACTGCAGGGCCTTGAATAAAGTGTGAGCAAGTTTGATTTTGTCAAAGTTTATTTTTCTACAAAAGCAAGACGGTTGCATGTTTTATGTAATATAATTTTTTTTATTTCTGGAACTAGTACTTTTCTATATATTTATATATTTTTATCTAATTACGTGTAGAATGCTCCAATTATATATGTATTTTATTATTATTTTTTTTTCATAAGTAAACATGGAAAAATTTCCACGACGAGAAGAATATATGTATTGAAACGATTTTACTATATTTTCGTGTCATCACAATTATTATAAAGGGGACATCTGATTTGTATTTTATATTAAATCAGAACAGGAATCAATGCAAACAGATTGCTACATGAGTTGAAATTTACTGCTCTCCAGTCTTTATCTTGTGTGTAAAATTTTGTGTTTTATACCAATCGCAGTTTTTTAGAGATGTGGATATAAATGGGTACAAAGACTTATTTTGGTGCACTATTAATTAGAATGCAACTTCTGCACATTTTGAATTATTCTTATGAGCACCACATTTATTTGCACTTTTATGACTGATAAAACATAGCAGATTCAGTATTTTTATATTAGAGTGGTTGCATTGGATGTGTTCTAGTCTGGGAAATGGTGTCGTCTACCCAGTAAGATCGCAACACCAGGGCACTCCTAATACTTATGATTCCATGGGCAGTACTCAAAACAGGTCAGCATTATACAAACTTAAATACAAATGCAACACTTAATTATTTTGAGTCTTTACTGTGGAACTCGTTTATATCTTTTTGATAAAAGGATAACTGACGTGTATACAAATATCTTAAATTAGTTGCCAAATCTCGAAAGAAAGTTTGTATTATTCGCTCGAGACTGTCTCACTTTTTTAAAATCTTTATTTTCTGCTTCATTATCTCCAATCTATTTAGAACATTTTTATGTTTTTTTATTTTTGTATATTGGTTTTTTTTTCTTTCCAGAGTTCCAGAGTAATGATATGCCTCTTAAGTACTTCCAGATTGCATGCAACGCATTTGTATATTTTTGTTTGGCGCTGGCTTTTACTTCCACGGCTATTTTTTTAATCGTTTCTTTATATAACTTTAGCTTTTTTATCTTAATATCTGCAAGATTCATAAAATAAATTTATTTTTTATTCTGCTTCTGAGAAGATATTCTTTGCAAGTTTAATCATGTTTTACAGAATTTATAATTTACAGTTTGGCTTTATTAATTTATACACACAGCAATTTTCACGTTTTTATATTTTTCACTAAAATGTACGTTAGAGGGATGGGGAAAGATGATAAAGAGATGGTACTATAAAATACAGGAATGCATACTTAAAGTCTGCAGTGTTCTTTAAAAATATGCAACATTTTATTTACAGAAATATTTATCTGCTCTAAAGAATGTATAAATCATGATTTAATCGTGACGTATCTTCAAATTATACGTAGCGAACGATTAAGAGACTGACTTTTTGTTGCAAAATCCTTGCATGTCCTGTATGTTACATTATAAATTTTCATTCAAGACCAATTGGCATAAAATTGTTACAATTATAATGGGAGGTATTGTGCATCTGGTTCTTACAGACTGTACTTGTAGTACAAAAATGGTGTAACTATGTATAATTACCGTTTTTCTAAAGGAAATATCTCCTTGTGTATTTCTATTACTTATCAAAATCAATTGTGTGAATTAGCTAATTGATAAAAGCTAAAGGTAATGGAAATAGTTGCACCATGAAGGTAGTCGACATGGGATGACACCGAGTAGAAGGTAGGGTATGGCTTGCAGCTTTGGTGACGGGGTAAACTTTCCTGAGCGGCTGTGCAATGAGGATACTCATACTTTGTTGGGCCATGGCACCCAACAGTGGGGTGATGAAAACGAGTTTGACTCCCCACCTCCCTACGTAAATCAGGTACTTCTTAGGCTTGATCCTTAAATCAAGACAATAATCTTATTTTAATTGCTAGCACATCAAAGTGCTAGCGTTATACAGCATTCATCGTAATTTCTTTACATATGTGTACATAAATATTTGTTATTATTTGAACTATTACACATATAGCTATAAGATCTCTATTTTAAAATACAATGCATCTCATCAGTTCGCGATTTTAATTCTAACAGTAATTTTCTGATGAATCTGAAATCGATTTTTCCTGAGCGAGTATAACGAAGCGAATAATTCCGCGTTATAAGTGATCGGGAATTCAGTCTTGGAATATAAAATTATTATTAGTATAATGATGTTTCTTAATTATATCAAGTAAATTTACATAAAATTTTAATTTGCAATTTATTTACAAAAATATATAATGGCAAATAGTAATAAATGTTATCGTTATAAATGTTATCTATATCTATAATTTCGCAGGAAAAATCAATTCTAAAGTGATTAAAAAGAATCCTTTAAAATTAATTATTGCGAGTGACATATCGTGTTTATTAGAAGAATTTGATATGTTTTCACACTGTGAAAATTAATATATAATGCATTTAGAGAACTGTCTTGATTGTCACAAAGTAAAATTTATATCGTTATATTACACTGAAACTGTCTTAATTGTCACAAAGTAAAATTTATATCGTTATATTACAATGAATGTATATTATTGTTAAATATTATTTTCCTATTAATAATAGGCAATAATATATACATTCCGATAGCTATTCCAAATATTCTTACTTTGCTGTTCAAAACAGACGTTTGTATCTAGGATGAATAAAACAGAAAATATATACTAAAAATCTCTGTAAAAAAGAAGCCACTTTTTTAAATAGAGTAAGATCTATTTATCATTATTCTTTATCCAGAATGTTCCTGTCCTACATTTACGGTATACATGAATAAATATCAGAAATATTGTAATATTGTAAGTATTACTTACAGAAATTCCGTAGTCGGACATGATATTTATCGTTTGCAAGTTTACGTAAGATTATAAAAAAGTCTAAAAAAAGATTACGTACACATTTTGTGTATACCACAAAGTTACAGTAAGTTTCGGATTTTAATACTAATAAGTATTAAATATTCTTTTGCCGAGTGCTATCCTGCTTCTATTACAAACTAATTCTAAAATATTGACTAGCTATTTACACATCTGCTTTTATTTCCCCCTTTAATAATTTTAAATAGTTGATATATATTATTAACTTGTCACAAGATATATATATATAAATTTTGTTATGAAGAGTATTTATTTAGAAATATAAAAATTACAAATTATATATACGTCTGCATATTTATTTGTGATTCAAATAATCTTTTTTTTTAGTTTTTTTCATAAACTTGTATAATGTATACCTCAAATTTCTTATGAATAGCTAATTGAAAAATGCAACTTTGAATTTTACTTACAGCATATATGTAATTATACGTATCATATATAGGTAAATATAACATAATATCTCATTTTGGTGAAATTTATTCTACTGAACTTTTAATTAATCACAGGTCCACCATTGAACAAATGACTTTGGTAGAAGAAGCTACAATTTTGGCTCTTGGCGCTGGGTAATATTATCCGCAACTCTGATTACACATGGCCATACCTGCATGCATACATACATATAGAATTTTATGGAAGTTCACGCATTTATTCTCTCTTTTATTTTATATTCTTGAACACTTCTATTTTTTATCTAATGTACTTGTGTGTGGGGAATGCAAACACTGCTAACATTTTTATAATGCTCGTACTTATAACATTTGGGAACAGCTATATAAAGCTATTATTTTTGTTTTTTTATGCGTTATGTGATTCGGTGGCTTTGGGATATATTACACTTTTTATTCCTATCATAGACAGTATAAAATTTCCACATATCTCATATTGCTATTAAATTTTTCGAAAATTGGAGAAAGTATTTCTTAATATAATATATGAAATATATTTACAGCACTGCTGTGATAGGGCCTTCTGTTGATGTCGACCAACCACTGATGAATACCACAGAACCTGTCTAAATATCATCATTCATATGACAAATATGCTTTCGTGCAGTTACAATTTTGCTTTACGCGATATTGCGAATATAATTCAAAATATTAATTTCTTGAAGTGCTCTTTAAAGCACTCTTTTTTACATTTTAAAATAAAACTATAATTCTAGTCGTCATGCATTAAAATTTCAAATTTTATTATTATCGCGAAGAAAATTGACAGTATATGCAAGTTAACTTTTAACGTTACGGATTGTCTTGCACCAAAATACTTGGAATATTAACACTGTATTATATATATTGTAATATATATATATGAATTGTTGTTAAAAATGTTATGGTTACTTATAAATTTAATTATGGAATATTCTATAATACAATTAATTAATTAATTAACTTTTAGTCCAATATATAATCAATGTCGCTATAAATTTATAATTATATAATTGGTATGTAGATTATAACTTGTATTACAAAGAAGTGAGAAAAGTCACTGCTCTTTAATCCAGGTACTACGTTTGCAATATTTTTGTCAAGATATGAATACGTATATGTATATATAAAACAATGTATCTGCATACATGTATCCAACAAAATGAGAGTTACAAATAAAAATTCGCCCATACTTAACTGTGAAAAATAAATAGGATGATTCATACTTTATAATAATTCTATAAAATTTTTATGTAAATTATGTACTTAACATTTTTTTTAGATTTATTTAATATTTTTCCGCGAAAGAATATTAACTGTTTTTAAAAAATGTATTATAAATTTTTGAATAGCATCAAGATTTATTTCTCAAATCTACTAATGGAAAAAATATATTTACAAATTACATGATATACGATAATAAGAATATCTTTAGATATTGATCTACTTTTGAATGCAGATATAACATAAACATGCAATAATATATATAAAGTTAATCTTAACTTTTTATCAATACAACAAGAATCAACCTATTAATTTTTTAAAAATAAATAATGTATGTATAAAGACTAATCATAGATACTTATGTAGAAACACTTGGAAATTCATGAATATTTATATAACTTTATAACCAGTTATTAAACACTTTTTAAACAAATGTAAATATTCCTTAAAAGTTGTGCGCATTAATTTTATTTGCTCAATATTTGATGTATATAAAATAACTATTTGAAATACAAAATAAATTTTCTTGTGAAAAATATATAAAGATATAATTAGATAATAAGATATAATTATGATTACATCGTAAGAAAATGTGCTATGAGTACAGCTAAATAGTATGAAGAATTGCGAAGTTTAAAGTTTAATTTCTGAAAATTTCAGATAATGTTTTACCAAAACATATTCTTAATACTGTACCGACTAAGTCAGTTAGCATCAGTTGATAATTGCGGAATTGTTATGCATTTCTTTGTATATTGGTAAGGCATCAGTGAGACACGTCGGTAAAAACTGTCTTAAATAAAAATGGCGTCTGTCTTGGAGAACCTAGAAGCTCAATTGGAACTTTTTATCGAAAATGTACGGCAAATACGTATTATAGTCAGTGATTTTCAGCCGCAAGGGCAAAACGTATTGAACCAGAAGATGTGAGTATTCATGTAACATGCATACATTTGCTTATTTGCTTGTAAGAACATATTTTCTTTAGAAGTTAACCTCTTTCTAAGATGCATTTACAATATATTTTGTGTGCGTTATCTTTTGTGATGTGTATTTTAATGATCAATAATCAATTATTGATATTTGTGGCGTACTTAAATGAAATCCGACAATAAAGCTATAATTAAAAAGATTAAGTTAGCTCTAAATATCTTTTATATGTTATTCTTCATAATGTTTCTAAAACAGCATTTTTTTCTGAAAATATATTATAATTTTTATTTATTTATTTAATTTTTGTAAAGTATGATTTAATCAATTAAGTCTTTTATATTTGACAAGTTATAAAAATTAGAATTAACATATTAAGATTATAATTAACGAGTTAAGATGTATTATATTTTGCTTAAAATAATGTCTTTTTCTTTGCAGTCAAGGCTTAGTCAATGGTTTACAGGAGATTGAGAAACTAAAGACTCAGGTGCAAGATGTTCATGTTCCATTGGAAGTATTTGAGTAAGTCAGATTATACTGATGTAAGAATTTATATATTTAGTTAAGTTGGTGCTATTCTAAAAATATTTGTTGTAGTTATATTGATCAAGGAAGAAATCCCCAATTATATACCAAAGACTGTATTGAGAAAGCGCTGACAAAGAATGAACAAGTGAAAGGAAAGATTGATGCCTATAGAAAATTCAAGGCAAACATGCTGGTGGAGTTGAATCGAGTTTTTCCAAATGAATTAGCCAAGTACAGAGCGATTCGCGGAGATGAATAAGACAATTTAATTTTAAAACTAGATTTTAATGGGCAAATATTTCTTTACACACTACAATTTGTAATTTATGTTCTTGTAAGTTTTATATTTGTATTAAAAAAATACTATCTGTATGCATCATTTGTGTAATATTTAATATTCTCTTTTTACATATATACTACGAATGTAAATGAAGTATTTTCTAAATATTAAATAAAAATACATTAATTGGTACAAGAATATGAATATTTTTAGATTATAAATTGCCTGTTCAATTATTCATACAAATTAAACTGATGTAACACTGTTTTGTATTAAAACTTACATGTTATATTTGCAATATTAAGATAATATCATTATTTTACAATCAATGTATCAATCATGGATTGAAAAAGTTATTTTAATCGATTCAAAGATGCAATTATTACAAACAGATGCAATGATGTAATGGAGATGAAAATATTAAACAAAATTACAAAACATACAAGGGTTGCTAAAAGTTTTGTTTTAATTTTTAATTTGTATTGCATTTTTAATTGATATTGCATTCCTTAAGCAGTCACTCGTACATAAATTAACACTTGTGCAAATTTTCTTGAATAGCATCACGCTGTATTGTTTGTATTGAAACGCTCATAAATTGTATTTTTTTTGCAATATAAATGCAAAATGATTTTATGTGTTAACTGTGGATTGAAAAATTACTTTAATTGGGCCATACGATTATCACGAAGAACAATAGATAGAACAATATTATTGAAATAAATAAGTATTAAAGTCATTTTGATGTCAATTATCATAATTGAAAACCTTTATCATTATATAAGATATGATAAAAATTATCGCTTGATATTATTATGATATTTGCAACTTACATGGTTATAAGCAGTCTTATGCTGCAACGATTATCACAAAATGTAACATATAATTAATATAAAACAGTGTTAAGTAAGATTAAGAATGTTTAACGTTTGTAATGATAAATTCTTTTTGCACTCACATAATTTAAAATCGTGCAACTTTGATATAAAATGTGTGAAGTTATAAGTAACATCTGTTTTGCGTGTAAATATTGTGTCTACAGTTGAGTGAATAAATAAAGAACAGTTGAGTGAATATTTACCGAATCTTATCTGTTTTTAATTTACTTTTATTTTTTTCTTGTTATGCAAACGTATTATGTGAAAATCCACGATGCATAAAAATATAGAATATTATTTATTTATAGTTTATAATGTTAGGGATCTTATTATTCAATTTTAATAACGAGATAATTGACGTTACAGAAACAGATTTTGTTAATAAATATGTTCAAGATTTAGATAAATATAAATCAGATTTTTAAAATGGATATTTTTATATTTTATTTTCGTTCTTGAACTATTAGATCTATTACGGCACAGCAAAATGTAACATTTGTAATAATCGCGTGTGAATTTTTCGCACATTAGAGATATCCATGGGTTTTGCCTCACTTAATTCATCCCCTCTCACAAACATAGCATGAATTTGATCTTCGGGCGAAGGATAAAATCATTCTGCGAAACGACAACCTAACATTCGACGGACAGCAGCTGTAGCGATCACATTAAGCAGTATGATCGCTCTATTGATCATCGTCCTCGCGCTCCAATCCGGCCTCAATCAAGCCGTAGAATACACGTAAGTACAAATTTAAAGATTGATATTGTTTCGATTTTATCAAATTAAATTTTCTTGAAATTTTAATGGATGTCGTATTGTCATGTCGCGTATAAATGCAGATATTATTTTCGCGCATCTTGAGTTTAATCATTTAAAAGTGGTATAATATTGGAAAATGTAGATAATTTAGTATCTATTTACTGAAATTATATTGATTTCGAGTTTTGATGCCGCTCTGTTACTTTGCTCGATCATCATCAGCTGTTTCTTCGTATACTGGAAAACATGTGCGTGTAATACATAATATACATGCTTTTGTAGCGATCAGGTAATAGCGCCACATCGCTATCCAACTATGTGAGCGTTAGTTTAGATAGAAAGGTAATTCGTTTGATACACGGTGAAAGCAACAGGTGGGTGGATTCATTGAGAAATAGACCGTATCGATCGTACTGAGAGGTCTTCCCAAAGTTCGGAGGCATTTAGAAGATTCTACTAAATAAATCAAACACTAATAATAAATCAATGTAATTCGGCTTACTTATTTATCTAATAAATTACAAATAAATGAAAACTACCACAAGCTAGATCTAGTTGCTTATATATTTTTCTATATTATAATGTACATACGTTTCGGCACATTTATTTTGACCACTCATCATTAGTGTATGTACATAAATTTTAACCTATCATATCAATACAAAACAAAAACGCATGCATATATAAATTATAATAAGGTTGTAGGCTGAGTATATAACTCTCAAGATGACTTCGTAACAAACATACATAATACAGAAAAATATATGAGCTATTAAATGTAGCTCGGGCTTGTGGCAGCTTTCGTTTATTTGTAATTTAGAAGATTATTGTGCTCTTATTGCTTTTGCAGTTTTTGAGTTTGTGGATGAAACAGCATTAGAAATAACTATGAATAATAATAAAACTTCAATTTTTTGGATCAGAATACAACAAGAAAAATTTTAAATTTAATAGATAAAGCAAGATCACGTACATTGTGTGAAAAGGATCACGTCTGAAACGTTTGTTGTGTGTATAAATATAAATTTTGCGCAAACATCTGGTATTGACATGACAGTCCAGTTTTCTTATGTAATTTGATTTTTGTAAAACATTGGACCTGATTTACATTATAATGTTTAAATAAAAATCTTTAGGAAAATGTAATACAATCTTAGATGAAATATTGTATAAAATAAAATGCAATTTTTTTCTCAAAATTATTATTCTTACAAATGAAAATGTGTGTGTTTAGTGTAACAGGTAATATATTTTTTATTTTATCTTTATAAAATTATAATAATATTTCTTTATTATTATGTATTATTTTATTTAGCTGACATAAAATTTTTTTAAAAGATGGAACTATTTTTCGCGCCTCAGAAATGACTAAAATATGAAGTGGCAATGCATGGTTACGTACCGTAGTATTACAATTCTTTCGAGCATGTCGGCTTTGAGTTTCGTTTTATGAATACCAAATGAGAAGGCATGATCAGCATCAATCTTTAACGCGGCTAGAGACTTCCATTACAATCTCACAACGGGATTTAAACACTTACACATTACTACAGACCTCGTTTCTTTAAATACATTTGGAAAAATATCAATGAGATTGATAGTAAAATAAAGATAATAAAAAAACAATCAATTATACTCTGTGATTGCAATTTGCATTACGATTAGCGTGAAAAAATGATAACACTCGTACTAATTTCAAAGCTTTATGTAAAGAATGTTTTTATAAGTAATTTATATTATAAGACAAAATAGTTTATTTTATATTATTACATAATTAACCGATTAATAATATAAAAAAGTAGTGTGCAATAACAAGATTATTCTTATTGCATCTCTTTTATCGGAAACGATATTTTTTAATCGCTATATTTATTATATATAAGTTATTCATACCTCACATCTTACAGTCAATCAGCATGCGTAATTAAATTATTCTTATCAATACAGTTGCATAATAAGTTGCAGTTAACAGAATAATAAAGTTATAAAATTAAGATAAGAATCACAAAAGTTTTAATTTGATAAAATTAAATAAAAAAGCAGATTTTCCGGTAAAAATAATCGCTATTTTTCTTTTCTTTATTTTTCAAATCAGCTCTCCTTGGCATTATAAATGCGATGGCGGTCTCTGCAAGAAAGTATTAATTACGGAACAAGACAGCAATCCAGTCGCTCTTAGCGTGTGCCAATTGACATGCGGTCAAGGTGGAACCCTTTGGCCGAGGCCGACGGGACACCTATCCATCGGTGAATCCGTGGTGCAGCTCGATCCCAATAATATTGTACTGATAGGAATTTCTACTCAAACGGTGGTAGGAAATCTCCTCCAGAGGAATGTGGATCGTTTAAAGGAGAATGCGAAGAAGCTCGGCGGCCCTGTAACTGTGAACGGTGGCGGTACCGGATTAGTGATTCGCTTCAACGATAAACTTAATCTTGACAACGCTAAATTGACCTTGGACACGGACGAGAGCTACACTCTCCAAGTGGCTTCTGATTCCGATGGACTGGTGAGTTATAGCAAAAAATAGCAAATTAGAAGTAGAAGCGTGACTGCTTGAATAAATTTACTTCGTATTCTTGTTGAACTAATGAAGTTTTTTGTGAATTGTCACACTGTGATTGATGTGTTTTCGTATTTAAATAAAATGGACAATGTGTCTATTGGATATTAAAAATAATAATAAAATAATAAGAATCGCCGCGTTTTTTACAAAGAATTCTTAGATTCTTATAAAGATTCTTATAAATAAAAACAATGGAAAATTAAAAATGTGAATATTTTAATGCATCATCAATATTATCGTGACAGTTTAACTACTGAAGTAAATTCTCAGTATCTAGAAACAAGTTTCCTGCGATTCACACATTCAAAAAAGATATAACTATATATATGTATACATATATGAGCATATTATCTCATAGTTAGATCGTGGTTTCCGCTGTGTTAAACCGCTATTAATCATATAATCTTTCTCAATGAGATATGTTAGTTAAATCAAAATAAAACTTTCCGAATTACGCGGTCGAGAAAACAAGATATTAAGAGTTTTAAAAACATTCAAATATTTCTTGAAGTTTTATTCACTTTAGTTATTGTTTTTAACAGAAACAATGAAAATTTAATTAAATTATATATGGAAAAATATTATTATAATAAATTGAATAAAAGTCAAGTAAAACATTTTTTATTATTTACTTTTTTCTGTCGTTCTTTCTTTTATTCTCTCGAGGATAACGGATTGAGTCTTGTTTTATGAATACTGAGTGAGAGAGACAGTTTTCTCAATAAAACAATCCTCAGGTGAAAGTCGATGTCACGGCGAATACGTATTTCGGAGCTCGACACGCTTTGGAGACCCTTAGCCAGCTCATCGTTTTCGACGATTTACGCAGCCAGATTCAAGTGGCCAACGGAGTGTACATCGTGGACGCTCCGAAATATCCTTATCGCGGAATTCTACTGGACACGAGTCGAAATTACGTCGACAAGGCGACGATTCTGCGAACGATCGATGGCATGGCCATGTCAAAGTTGAATACCTTTCACTGGCACATCACCGACTCTCACAGCTTTCCTTACGTCAGTAGAACATGGCCTAAGTTTGTTAAGTACGGCAGCTACACGCCAACTAAGATCTACACGTCTGAGATGATCAGGGAAATAGTCGATTATGCTTTGGTCCGCGGTGTCAGAGTCCTGCCTGAATTCGACGCACCAGCGCACGTTGGCGAAGGTTGGCAGTGGGTGAGTAATAACTTTCGTGATATCAATAAAAGTAACGTGGACAGATAATAACGGATAATGCGATTTGACGGTTAATCCAACATGTGGTTTAACATATGGCTGTTCTATACAATTCAAAGTTTTTGCCAGAGATTTCTTCGTTATCTTGAAAAAGGTATTAGTACCTATATTTATAAAATTTTAATAATTGCAGCATATTGTGAATTTATAATAGTCGTAAAGAAGAAAATCTTTGCAAATAATGTAATAAAAGACAAATATAAAAATATAAAAGAAATGTTCGACGGAATTTGTTGTTTTTTTATGACATATCTTTTATTAATGCACGATGCGTTAATGCACGAACAGGTTGGCGACAACGCGACAGTTTGCTTCAAAGCCGAACCTTGGATGAAATATTGCGTGGAGCCGCCATGCGGTCAACTGAATCCTACTAGCGAGAGGATGTACGAGGTTCTTGGGGGAATTTACAAGGACATGGTGGAAGATTTCCAGCAGCCAGACATCTTTCACATGGGCGGCGACGAGGTCAACATCGAGTGCTGGAGATCAGTGAACATCATCACCGACTGGATGCTGAAGAAGGGATGGGATCTAAGCGAGAGAAGCTTCTACTTGTTGTGGGATTATTTCCAGGAGAAGGCTCTGGAGAAGCTGAAGATCGCCAATGGCGGCAAGGATGTTCCGGCTATTTTGTGGACAAGTGGACTGACCAGTAAAGAGAATCTTCAACATATCGATCCTAAGAAATACATAATACAGATTTGGACAACTGGCGATGACGAGACTATCGGCAGACTGCTGCAAAATAACTTCAAGATTATTTTCTCCAATTACGATGCTCTCTATCTTGACTGCGGGTGAGAAAAATTGATGGAATTAAATGCTGTATATTTTTTCCTTTACCAAAAATCATATTATATTTTCGCAAAAATAAAAAAAAATAAACAGAATTTTTTAATATCTCGACTTGCACATGATAGATGTTAATAATAATTTAATTAAATATATCTATTTCTGTGAACAAAAATGTGCAGCATATGATCGCATAATCATAATTTGTGCTATGAATGCAGATTACATTTTTTGAGAGCTGAGCTTTAATTATTTTTTAATATGTTTTATCTTTCTTAGATTTTCAGCCTGGATAGGAGAAGGTAACAATTGGTGCACGCCATACAAAGGCTGGCAAAAGATCTATGATAATTCTCCGTTGCAAATGATCAAGAGGCAGGGATACGAGAACAAAAAGCACCTTATTCTAGGTAAATTTGTTATTCAATTTTTATTATCTAAAGTTAAACCTGTATTTTTACGCTAATACTACCATCAATGCTAAACGTTATTTTTCACAATATGTAGAGTTGGCTTTAAAGTCGCGTAACGCGGACACAAAAAATCGCAGTAAAGTTAAAAAAACACGTTTTGAAGGTAAATATTTTTGACACTTGTTCTAAATTTTGCGAGAAAAATTGTTTTGTCAAGCTACAGAGTATTGAAAGTACGTAATTTTAAGAATAAAACAATGTGTTCTTTTTTCGAGCTCAGGACTGTGAAAACAAAAAATATTTAAAAACGACCGAAAGCATATAAAGTACAAATTTCAAGTTTTTTTAACTTTTTGTCTGCGATTTTTCGCCGAGTTACAGCTATTTAAAAATTGTTCAATTATAAGAGTCTGAATGTGACGTCTCGGTGTGACAGAACAGTGCGGTCGAATGGCCGAGTTTTGCAAGCCGAATAGCCGAGTGACTTCAATGCACGCGTAGCACACTAACAATACGCATTCGCCCGTACTAATGGCGCATCGCGCTCAGCATAGCGCATAGCGACGCAAATGGTTGCGATAATTGGTGCTTTAAGTTCTTACGTGTTTTTTTTTGTAGGTGGAGAAGCAGCGCTTTGGACCGAACAGGCAGATAGCACGTCTGTCGATTCAAGATTGTGGCCGAGATCGGCCGCGATGGCCGAGAGATTATGGAGCGAGCCGGATTTCAAATGGCATCATGCCGAACAGCGAATGCTGAGACATCGTGAGAGACTCGTCGAACGCGGAATCGACGCGGACAGTTTGGAACCTGAATGGTGCTTGCAAAACCAAGGCTCATGTTACGCGTAAATTTAAAAACTGTGCTGTAAAAACTCATATCTGTTTTTATTTCTATCCAAACTCTTTCTTTTTACAATTTTAATGTTAGAATAATTTTACTTTAGAGCACTTTAAAATAAATCGCCACAACCATTTTGATTTTGTTGTCTCATTTCCTTCGCGTGCAATTCATTTTTAGCAATTGACGTTCTGAATCAAAACTTTCAATCGACGTTTCACATTGCCACAATCAAATGCAATCGAGACAAAAATTAAATTCTGTTTAAAGAGAAACACACTCTTTTTCTGTTAAACACTATTATTATTATAATACTACAAAATAAAATTCAACAATAATAATACTGCAATGCAACAAATTTTGCTATTATATTTTTATTCGCATAGTCACGTTCACAATATCTTCGAACTGTGAAGAAAGGCAATAAATACCGATTGTACAAAGCAATGTCATACATCGATCATACATTAGGACTGAGGCGTTCTCGTTGTTTCTCGATGCAAATTAAATGGAAATTCGTTCAAAATTATTTGAGTATGTTACAGCTCTCAAAACGAATTAATCGTACATGTACAAGTATGTATGCGTATGTATGTACAGGTAAAGTTAATCTATTTGCAGGTACCGTGTAACGATGCTTATGAGATTACGAATGAGTAATCGATAAGCTAAAAACTGGATAGAGTCAGTGTTTAAAATTTTTATGCAACGATTCTGGAGTATCTTGCAAAATACACATATATGAGATCATCGTCTGTCTCGTCTCTAAGACGTAAAATTAGTTTCAAAACATAGCCATTTTTTTACTTTTTCTTTGATTAAATCAAGGCTGCACAACTGGCTTGTCTGTGAATTCTTGTATTTCTCGTTTGCTTGGAAGTCTATGGAAGAATAAGAGAGAATGGATGTACCTTTCCCCGTTAAAAATAGCATCTATCTCTTAGAAAAGGCATCATACATAAAATATTAAAAATAAGGAATAAAGTTTCAAAATAAAAAAATAGGAAATAAACTATATCTTTATTATTTATTTTTTATTATAAATTGAAGCATGACATTCTACATATAAAAATTTAATTTCTTATTTCTAATTTTTTATGTATAATTCCTTTTATTGTGTTTGAACTCTTACGGCCCGGAGAATGCGAGAACAAAAGAAATTAAGATATAATTAGCTACGAAGAGCCATAAACCTTGTCGCGAGAGCAGCGAGGGCATCCCGAATTCAGCGAGTTGTACAACTTTGGATCAAGTGCAGGACAAAAACATCGAGAGGATGATAATCTTAAACATCCGTATTGGTATGTCATGCCGATTATTCATTTTTTAACACATAAACCGCAAAGATGAAGTCGATATTCTTGAATACGAGATGCTATCAAAAAGATTTTGGACTGTACTTCCTCCCAGAAATTCTTTGATAGCTGTGTATTACAACTGTTTCGATTATTATGATAAACTTCTTAAAAATGTCACTTCTTTGATGTCATTTTTCTCGCGCAAAAAGTTAAAACCTTATTTACGAGTTAAACGAGTAAACCTAACATTCACAAACATTTCACAACAACAGATAGATCGTTAAAACTCTGGAATCGCCTGGTTTGGCAATACATCTTTTCTTAATCCGCTCAGACAAGTTAAGATCCTTGTTTTTTTTTTTTTCTTTTTTTGCAAACTTTTCGTGCTCAACGTTGTTTGTACTACTTATTTCAGAGACTCAATAGTGCCATGGAAAATATTTTTTTCACTCACGAAAGTGAAGTTTGATTATTCCCGATTTTGTATTGTTAATAGTTGTCCTCTTTGTAGTCGAAGGGTGTCTTCACGAAGTACGTGGTGAGAGTTCCCTTGCCCTTCACGTACGTCGGCCCTCGGCAAACGAGCTCGTATCCGGCGTCCATGAGAATCTTGGCAGTGTCCTCGGTGACTTGCAACTTGCCCATCTCACCGCAACTATCCATTCTCGACGCAACGTTTACCGTATTTCCCCAAATATCGTACTGCGGCTTTTGAGCGCCTACGACGCCCGCTATCACCGGGCCATGATTCAAGCCTGGGGCAACAAATATTTGGCTATTATTTATATTACGCACAACATCGAAGAAACAATTAATAACTTAATATTTGTGACGTCATATTTATTATTCGAGAAATATTTTATCATTATGAAAAATATTCCTCTAGATATAGAGATATTTTTTTTTGGTGAAACTTTTAATAATAATAGTATTAAAAATTATATAATGTTAGCATTAACTCTATTGTTTTTGTTGCAACATAATAATTTTCAATATCTACCTATTCTCAATTTAAATCTCTGGAAAGAGTCCCTGTTGATTTGATCCAAGATCGTCATAAGCGCAATGGCAAACTCAACGAGTACGATTACGTTATGATCTTGCTGCTTCAATGCATCCTGCATAAAATAAATAATAATGAAACAATATTATTTTAAAATCTGTTATCAAAACTAATTAAAATATATCTCAAGAAAATATTTTATCCGCATAATTCCATTTTATTTTTACAAATATTTTACTCAAGCAATTTTTTTAAATTTAGATCGACATCATCAATATACATGCGCACTAATTATTAACTTCTTTAAAGACGGAAAAATCTTAACAAAAAAAAATCAGATAAGCCACGGGATCTTGACTTCGACTTTATGACCCTACCTTGCCATCACCGTCCTCTTTGCCCGGGCTTAAGCCGGATGCCAACATATAAGTACTACCTATCGTCTTGATTTTCTCGATTCCCGAGAACTTCGGCTTGAGTAAGAGCTTGTCGAAGTCACAAATGATCTCGTTGAGTAGACGCAGACACTCAAGACCTTGCTTGTTTATGTCGGTTTCGTCGTAAAATTCCTTGTAATTCGGAATCGACGCAAACATCACAGCGATGCTACTGTACCTCTCGTGATAAAGCTCCTATTAATTAAAAATAATAATACTGTTTACAAAAATATTTCGAATCATTGTGCATCGCGAAATATACAATGAACATGTTTACATTTGAATATAAAATGATTTTAAATGCCAATTAAATTAATGTTACATATCGTAAAATACCTAATAATTAAATTCCGTAATTGCATATAACACGTAAATTCCGACAATTACGACGCATAAATTCAATATTATTACTGTTTTTTAATAAAACAATCCGCTGAATAATCACGATAAAAATAAACCCGATAGAGATAAAAGTTGGAAGAGTTTACCTGCGTAGCTCTCGTGGCTAAAAAGTGATCAGCTACGTGCGCCGGTAGTATATTTTCCAGGAGAATTTTATTGATTCCTCGCATCGTCTCCACTTCGTCCTGCTCTACTCTCAGCTTGCTCTTCCACAGAATATCCGTCCTAGATGTATATTCCACTTGTCGATCAAGAATGTGGAGTATCAAACTGACAAGCGCCAGTAGATAACCCACTTGCATTAAATAATGGACGCCGTAAAACCTGCGAAAGCAGTTCGCGTAATGTTGCAGAGGCTTTGCAGAAAAAGAAGGAGATTTATAACGCTCGCTCGAGAGTTTCGAGAGGGTCTTACTCACTTGACGTCGGTACTTTTGTAATATTGTTGAATGACTGGTGCTTGAGAGAAGACCACGAGTATTACAGCAATGGATAGTAGCATTACGCTTAACTTCAGCAGAAAACCGACTCTTAAGTGTGTCCATCCAACTACTAGCGCGATCACCGGAGAATATACGTACAGCTGAAAGTTTTTTTTAAAGACAAAAAATAATTAGAATAAAATCTTAAAATCAATCTTTTTCTTTTGTATGCGTATAATGTATTGTGAGAGCGTTGAGAGCGAGAAAATTATGTTTCGATATCGTTTTCGTGTGTACTTTGCGAACGATGGAAGTGATAAATAGTTAACGATCGAGCGAGCAAAATACGAATTGTCCAGGCGATCGTTCCGAGCAGCAGAGAATAACGGCGAACGAGAGCATCTTCGTGAGTCGGTTTTTCCGCAATCATCTGCGAACCGCGAATCCGTTTAGACATATCTTATGGATTTGAAAAGCGCCGCTCGCTCTTCAACTTCTATCTTTTATATCCCTCTATTCGAAGATGTTGAATATATTTTCAGATTATTTCCACCTATTTATTTTATTTTTATGTATCTTGACCCCGAGACTCAACCATCCTACATTTTATAAAATCTTCATCTTTAATTCATTTTATATTTATTTTTGTTTCAAATAATATTCAAATATTATTTTTGATTATACATACTGGTACAATGTATCCAACAGTCTGATCAACTTCGATCAGACTAATGACTGATGACGCGATGGCCAGTAGAGCCGTTATCAAGTATACCGTGATTCTGATACCACGGCTAAGCGCGATGTAATTCGTTGTTTCGTCAGTGTTCTCTGCGTCGTCTCTTCCACTAAACCACGAAATTACAGCGAATATAATCAAGGATGTTAAACCAGCCGCAAAACAACCGTAAACTGCAATGCTTCTATAAATAGAAAAAAAATCAGTTTTTTAACAATACTAAATAAAAACCTTTTATTATTTACTTATTTATTAATTTAAATGCTATTATATTACAAGAATTTAATAGTTTAAAATTTAATAGTTTAAAAGTTAACAGAGACTAATAGATTGATAAAATTTTTCCAATTAGATAACTTATTTTCGGCAACAGAAAAGTTTCATATTATTAGTTTAAAAAACGTAACAGCTATTAATAATATAGTATTACGACGAATAATATTATTTTATTTTGCAAAATTTTACAAATATTGACTTTGCAAGTTTGGTATAAAGACATCAGAGTAATATTCTCGTGAAGCTGACCCAAATATTAAGGATTAGATTGTGTTACAGAAACTCGCCTTGGCAGGTAAATAATCTGGATGCAGAACATCATCGTGTAAACTACGTTGGAGGCCACGACGTACCAAGGATATTGTTCATCCCTTTGCTCTCGGTATAACTGTTTCTGATTCTTATCCTTGAACGAATAAGTAAAAGGCGAAATCCCTTCATTTCCGCCGCACCATTGTCTATATTGTACATAAAAATCGAAAATGTTTCTATACTGCAGATTATGTTAATTAATTTAAGTTAATTAATTGACTCTTATTTGTTGCCGCAAATTATATTTATATAAAGAGATTAAAATACATTAATTAATTTTAATAATAACTATGTATCACATATATATTCATATATGTATACGTAATGAAAAGAAAGGGATTTAATGCAGAGATATTATTATTATTATTAAGATATTAAATTTACCTATTAATGGTTAAATTTAATTATGTCTGTGATATTGAAATCAACACGTTCTATTATGTACTATATCCGTTATTAAATTAACAATCTTAATTTCCGTTTAGCGCATTGATATAAATTTGTAATTTGTATAACTCACTGTGCATCAAAGCAGTTGGTATTGTTTGCTAATAGATTGGATTCGATCATCGCAATACTCTGTCGGAGAAAAGTGCATTTTAATTCATTTCAATTCTACTTTGTTGATACTATTTATAAAAGTAAATCATAACTCACTGTTAGGCCAATATTTTTTGCTAACGTTGCTTCGGCTATATTTGCGAAAGGTTTGTCTGCGCCCCAACATTCCACGTATTTTGTCATTTTGCTACTAGGCCTTGATCTGTTATAAAATATTATTGATATTACGTAAATAAAGAATTAAATAATAAATAATTAAAAGAGTAAAATATTTGTAAAAATAATATTAGATATTATAAATAAAAATACTGTTGCAGTTTTCCATGCAATCACAAAAAATGACAGTATCAATCACAAAACAGCAGAAAAGCTTTTAGCTCTTGCTACGTCACTATTGTGATGTTGACATTTTTGCATGAGACGTGCTTTGATCAAAACCGAATTTCAAAGTACTTTATAATGAAACACACCTGGAGGGTACTGGTCCAGGTCCGTGTATACGATTTCCACCGTTTTCCATTTCACTTTCCTCTCTGTTTTTCTACGAAAAGCAAGGACCATCAGCAAATTTGCATCTGCCGTCTTCTCTTTACACGAAGAAATAACATCTCGTACAATACGTTATATTCCGCTTGCAACTGTTTTAATATCCTCGTTAAAAAAATCAACAAACAATATCGTTAAAAATAACGTAGATAGTACCAAGTATCAGATTTCCATTTCCGAGAATTATCTAAAAAAATCTTGCTTAGAAAAATTTTATGTTGCCGTGAAATACGACGAATGAATTTTAAGCAGCGGAAATTAATCTCCGTCATTGTTATCAAAATTACATTTTCACACACTGAATAATATAAATGGTTTTATACATTTTGTTCCTGCAATAAATTTTTTTTTTTCAATTATTACGAGGAGATCTTCGATATATCTTTATTACACAAAATTTAAGTCGCATGACGAAATTGCAATTTGCTCGAAAAAAAAGAGCATTTGCAAGCAAGAAAAATGTAAGATGATAGAATGGTGCGAAAGCCCGGCTTATCGGGCTTTTAAGCAAGTTTTTAACTATCTTCCGCTGGAATATTTATCGATAAACGGAACATTATGATTCAAACTTCGTTCACACAGAAATAAGATAATTTCCCACTTCGCAGGCAAACTTTATCATTACTTTCTGATAGATTATGTCTCGACATTCACACGGATTTTCTATTTTTTCACGTAATACTGCATTGTCCACTCTGTAAGGTGATTTTTGTATTACGATTTCGCAATATGATTTGAAGTAAATGACATTACTTTCCGCAAAAATTTGAATTAAGTCTTTTCTCATAAAATTGATAATTGGATTGTCATATAAAAGTGTACTATTTCTAGAATGCGGAAAAATTTATTTAAAGCGACAATTTTAAATTGCAAATAAAGCATTTGTTTTTATCGGCATCGTTTTCAAGAAATATTACAACCAGTATTTGCTGTCTTTCGTATAAATATATAAATTGCTTGTAATTCAATTTCCGTACTCAATGTCAACAATTAATTCGCGTCAATAAAGATAAAGCACGTACTGGCACGCTATGGCGAATAAATGAGGAAATCGCGATGCTTCGACGATGCCATTTGTCTTTTGACAAAGCGGAGAATTTAGCAGCGGGGATTAAGAGTAATATTTCTAATTATAAATTAGGAATCAGAATCAGCAAAGGAAAGATTGAAGCGCTTGAAAAGCTATCAAGTAATGATAAATTCTCACTTACCTTAGTTGGCACGATAAGAAAAGTCTTTACTTTGTGCTGAGCAAGATAATTGTCCCGGGATCCTCCATCACCCGGCTCAACTTCGAATCGATCGCCCAGTTGCAATAGAGTAGCTTTTGTGATGTGAACTCTCCTTAAAATTGCAAAGAAATCGTTGCTGATATAGCAATATAGACTAACGTTGCTTCTCTTATATGATTTTGTACAAATAAAATCTCGCAAATTGTTGTACTAATCGCAAATTATCAAGCGATCGCCAAGAGTTTTAAATTTTAATATTCCAACACCTAAGATATATTTTTTAAAATATAACTTTGGAGTTTTATGCAATTATGTAAAAAACATAGATGTAGAAAAAGAATCATAAATAATTATCTGCAAAATTGTACAATCCGCGATGGAACTCTGTTTTCGAAGTTGCGTGAAAACAAATATTTTAGTTGTCGACGTTAATATATTTTCGTGTAGAACATTGTAGACTGCGGCGCGCGTCCAGAGGGTTGCAACAACATTAAATCGCCTTACCCCGGCAGTCCGCCGCTCTCCATATGATTGGCCAGAGTCACGTCGTCGCTCCACACGTCGAATTGCCATTTCCGCAGACCGAGCACTCCGCACAGCACGTTTCCCGTGTGAATTCCTATCCTCATGTCGACGTTGAAGCCGGTGGCCTCGCGGACAAACCTACGCGCAAGGAGACAGTTTGAAAATGTATTTTCGTACCGCACACGCGGGCACTTCTCATGCTCGCTCCCGTATTCCCACTGCACGTCTCTTGTTAGATTTCCACGATTATCCGATTCCGAGTACTATTTATTCAATGCGAGTTATTTTCGTGATCGTTAAAGGTAAGTGGCAGTTTTATTGATTCCCCGCGACTCTTTCTAGCCCCGCGATTAAAATCTCATTATTGTAAAAACTTTAATTTATTATTTACAACTCTGGTCCTGTGGGAAATCTAATGTAAACTTGAAGCAAAAACTTCTAATAGCTTTATACAATGCCTAAATATGTAGCCGATCAATACAAATTTTGAATTATTGACTTCAAAAAAATTTCGCACTTGCGATATATAATTTAGTAAGGAAAAAACGCGATTTCTATTTATTATAAGTAACAATAAACTCTCTTATATTTACTTAGTGCAAAGAATTATATTTAAAAAAAGAATTATTTTTAACTTGTTATTAAAAATAAATGTAGTATTTAGATATCAAATGTTAAATGATGCCTGTTAAAGGACAATGAGGGAATTTGTAAAAACAATAAACTATTGAAATTGTTAAGAATAATGAATAGCAGTTATGACAGCAGTGATGACTAATCTTTCGATTTGCATTGACCCGAGGTAATCGCATTTGTAACAAAGCAGTGTTATATCAAACGTATAATCGAAGCTATGCAAGCCAAATGATCGCATTTTGATATGCGGACATCATTGGCAAAGTGCATACAAATCTGTAATTAATAAAGCGCAATATGCGATTAACTGAAGGTTGCGAAATGCTGGCGAGAGCGGATTGTATTCGCCAATTACTGTGTGTAGTTATGTAATATCGTAAAATGTAGAAAGATCTAATGTTCTGTTTTTGGATTAAGTGGAATCAAAAACTTTGCATAAATCTTTCTTTTTAAATTTCTATCAATTAAACCACTAAAATAATAATATATTATTTAATCGGTAACTATAAAAAATTTGTATTTTTTCTCATTCAATAATTATTTGCATTATTGTACAAGTAGTGAGTAAAAAAATATAAAATAAGAAATAGTATTAAAAAGTTAATAATGAGATATATTATGAAATATAATCAACGCAATATATACGTGCCTTCATTAAAAGAATTTTTCTTTTTTCTACAATTTCTTTTACATATAAAAATAACGCATAACAATTATTTTCACATTTTTTCATGCTATTCCGCTTTGGGCAATTTAGAAAAAATTGATAGAAAAAGTGTAACTAACGAGCTGTCGCTCGTCAGCAATATGCTATAATTTTGGTATTTTATTCGGGCTCTTACCTGATAGCATCGATCATTTGCAGTCCCATATTCACGCAGTTGTAAGCATGATTCGGGCGTGAAACGGGAAGCCCAGAAACGCAATAATAACAGTCACCCAAAATCTTGATTCTCATGCACTGATTGTCCTAAAAATCAAAATTAATTAATCACACAATATTCCAAAAATCATATTAATTACGAAAATTTCATTCAAATAGCTTTTTGAAATAAAAAATTATGATTATATATCTTTCTGTATATAATAGTTAACTTTTCTATAATTGTTGCAATATTTTTAATATAAAATTTTGTATATTAATTATAAATTTATTTGTGTATCATAGAATTTGCATCATTAAGCATTATCGAATTTTTCTTAATTTTCTATAAATCTGTATTTTGTTATAAACATTCATTTTTATTTTAAAAACTGTTGACAATTCTGTGAATATATCTAATCACTTTAAGCTCTTTAAATCCCACAGTCTTTTTTTTTTATCGAAGACAGATATCTTTCCGGCAATCTAGTTGCGAAAATGAACATGCTGCTCTCAAAGACGGCAAATAGACAGAGGAGATATCTCGAAGAAGCTTCGATAGATTCGTATGGGTTTCATCCATATAAATGGAATAAAGTTTTTCTATTTGCAGCGTCGCTTATTCGCGCCGTATAGCGAGATGATATTCTACCTTCTCCGCGCATAATCGCATTTCGAACCATCGCTCATCGTATCATGATAAAATAGCTTCGTAGCATTCATAAATTTAAGAATAAACTCGGAATTTTATTCCGCTCGTGTAATGCTGATCTTGCATTCGAATTTGATTTGGACTCAATCTGATTTGATTGACTAAGGTCCGATTTAATAAGATCCTAATCAGACAAGTGTTATAAATTTATAATAAGTTGGATCCAGTTTTCACTATCAGTTAGAATATCTTGATTGAAAAATGCAAAAATAAATAAAAATTTATTGCGCGACGCTTTACGAAATTAATAATTTTTAAATGATAAATATGAGTAACATGAAATTAATCTTGAAAAAAATAGCAACAAATAATTTTTTATTTGTAACATAGCCTGACTAATCCGGAGCTCTAAGAAGTTTATCGCCGACAAGGATATTGTCTTTTTCCTACATTTTCCGGTTCGCTACTTGCGTAATCGTATTTACGTGACTTTTCTCTTTCCCTATCTATCCTTTCTCCTTCCGTTATCTAGTCCGGTTTTACCAGCCGTGAAACTCAATGGTTATCGGAGAATCAGAGGAGTTGCCTCGATAATAATTGTACAAATTGCGAGAAAGCACTCTACTGCTTTTTACGAGAGCAGGAAAAAAGAAAAAGAAGAAAGATACAAAAAGTTCTAGACATCTTACATTTGATCCCTTCGCGATTGCCATTATTATTTTATATCATGTACATTACAAGCAGATACTGCGAATAGTTGAGGTTTTACGAGGTGTTTAATATTTAAAATGTGGTCACTTTAATCTCGCAAGAAAAGAGAGAGCTATTCTGAAATATAGTCCATTTTTTTATTCAGTCGAATTTGATTATTTATTTGAACTTATATATAACGACCTACATAACTATGAAACTCGTTTAACTTTGCGCAATGCATGTCGTAAATAAATTTTTTACTTTTTTTAGCGAGAGTGCATTTGCAATAGAAGTGTGTAATTGCTTTTGTGTATGATTTCGCAAGAATTGGATTTTTCAAATAGTTACGGGGGAAAATTTGGCAAAGCTTTCTCTCTATTGTCAATTTGTTCGACACAGTCTTTCGTTTAAAATTCAGTTACACGTAAAAAGTCATTCCAATATGTTTCAGTTTATTCCAATATATATTGTACAAGCATTGTATAAAAATATAAAATTATTCCTGCAAACAGATTTATTCTCTCTCTTTATGAATTTTATGGCACAAGTAATTATGACAATTATGGCAGGATTTCATAATTTTGTTCAAAAGTTTGACAAACTTGGCAAGTTTTCGCAGAACAATTAACTATTCATAAATTGCAATTTGCCATGGGAAGTCGGCAATTACGTGGTATTATGCGACGATTTAAGAAAAACGAGAAGTTACGAGTTGCGATTACGCAGCTGTGATGTGCATCGGAACTGAAATCGGCGTCGATAAATTCCAACTTTCCCGTCAAGTCACGTAGGAAATTGAATCCGGAAAATTTTGTCATCGCGGTATTCCGCCGATCGCAAGATTATGAAAATAACCATCGCCTTCCGAGGCCAGCGACGACTAATACAAGGCAAATACCACATCGTGGGATTCTCCGAGAAGACGGAATTTATCTACGGCACAATTCCGTTATCGGTCTGCGTGCCTTTGCTACATTTTCGCCATTACAATTACTACAATGACCATCCGGAAATCTGTTGTCTACCCACACGCAATTTTAATAAACGCGGATTTATTAATATTAACTAATTTAAAACGAGCATTTTAACTTATTCAACGTACTCATACTTTTTGCAATATCGAATTTAATTTCTGTTATGACTTAAGTATATTAAAAAATTTCGACGGTTCGACAATTCGACACTGCAGCGATTTAATAAAGTGAGCAACAATGATTTAATTTATATAAATTAAGTAAAAATTTTATGCACAGTGAAAAATTTAATAAGAGAAAAATTCTAAAAATTTTGAAAATTTGATAGTAGAAAATTAATGTTGAAAATGAAAACTTGATTGTAACTTGATAACAGTTTTTGTGAAGTGTAAAATTTAATGATTTAACCTTGGTAGGCAATTAATAAGGCAAAATTTGCTTCTTTAAAAGTTAATTTTTATGTATTTTTATTAAATTATAATTAGAAACAATATATGTTAGAATTAGAAATACAATATATTATAAATAAAACATGAAATAAATATAAAATAATGTTTAACTAATTTTTTATTTTGTTAAAATCAATTTATATAAAAAATTATTTTTATTTTTTACGGCAATATAACAGACTACATCCTTGTCAATAAATCCTTGTTAATAAAATATTAAAGCAACATATAAAGCATTTTTGAAATAGCCTCTGGTTTTATTTTTTTTTTCTGTTAGCGAATCAACTAGCGTGAAAATCCCATTTGCAAGCTCGGAAATGAAGGGAAGATTCCGTGTGCGAAATGATCCAGCCGTTGACGATACAGTATTCGTAGAACCAACACGTAGCACTCGGATTCATGCCGCGCTCGGGTGACGCTATAAGTCCTTCCGGCTGCTATAAAAGCGAGTTATGCGATCCCGTAAAGCTGAAGGTCTTGGCGTTTGCAATGTGGCCCCCGGCGAGTGAGATTTAGCAAGCTGCTCACTACTAAAGCTTCAACCGCTTCCAACTAGCTTACTCCTTCGAACAGACGTTCGGCTTTATAAACAATTTCTAAAGCTTGTGATCGATAACTGTGGTGGTGGCCGGCAATGTTGCGGTTACGGGAGCAGGTCGAAAAATAAATGAAACTCAACTTTTAAAATCCGCCCGCGGATGTACGCTCGACTCTGTACGATACTGGAACCGTGTATTGCGAGTTTGTTTAGCGATATTAGCTTTGGTTAATGTGAGTTACAGCGTCCGCAATGTCGACTTGTTTGTAAATAGTTTTCAAAAATTTAGAGAAAACAGTGGAAATTGATAAATATACAATAAAAAGCTAACAGAGCACATAACATTATCAAAATTATCTTTTATATCGATTTGCTTGCTGTTTCTATAAATTACACATTATTGATTTTTTCTAAAGTAAATTATCTTACATTCTTTAAAAAAGGAATAGACAGAAATTGAAAGTGCAAAAATATTTTATCTTAAACGTAAGAACTGTACAATTTTTTACTTAAATCAAGTAAACTAATGAAGTAACAAAGTTTTCTCAAATACTTGGACCATGTTTAATGTTGTGTTTCTTTGTTATTTTAATATCGCGCTAAAATAGCACAACACAGATCTTGTAATATCTTCATCTTTTTTTACCAAAAAGAAAGAATAAAATTGGTATCTAATTATAAGCAGACAAGCAGTGTAATATTAATTGTAAGTACATTTTTCATAGATTCATTAGTTCATAATTTAATAGAGCTAAAGCTTATAAAGTTTCAATTTATACGGTTTATGAGCAATCGAAAGAACGAGTAAAAATGACGATATAAAACTATATTGTACTTTTATTAGATCTTTATTTGACCTAGAAATTATTCTAAGTACTTTTTGTAAATTAGCCTTTCATCTATGACCTAATTAAGTTTTGCATATCGATAAACCAAATTTACGTTATAATATTGTAAAAAATTTACTTTTAACTTTTTTTTTATAATATTATTAAATATCTGTCTTGCTAACTCAATTACTAAATAAAATTTTTACAAAATAACATGTTATAGTTCAAAAAAAGAAAAATAGAAGATACTCGTTGACGAAAAAAAAAACATATTGATTACATTTTTACAAACTGGAATCAACAAATGGAAGAAATTTTAACTCCATCATTCTATCACAGTTTAATTGAACAACATTCAATATTTGTCGAAAAAGTGCGACCGTCGCAGATCACATTTCGCAATCTCGTTCATTATTTTTTAACCAAAAGTGATCTATCACTTTTGCAGATCCGCAAATTTGCAGTTCTGCAAATTTCATTATATTGCGAACATTTCTTTCAATTTTCCATTTGCTTTCACTTGTCATTGTTTTTTACTATAAACTTTATATTTTCTAATATGAGGAATATCATGTCTTTTTCAGCATTTTATTTTCGCAAAAACTGCTTGTGCTTTTAAAAATATTATGTTTGTATAAGTCGCTAAACGGAAATACATATGAGAATAAGAATCAGAAGTACCTTGCAAATAATTTATAAATATTAAAATATTAAAAAAAAATATAGGATTTATCGTAATAAATATTTTTTGAAGAATTTTTTGTAAAATAAAAAATTCTGTCTTTTTAAAAGCTAGGAAGCTTGAAATTATACTGAAACCAGATGTTTGTAGATTTAGTAGAATAACTTTCGTTGAATAAATTTTATTAAATGTGAAATGTTTGGGTATAATATTATTCTTGCAAATTGAAAATATATTTTCTGCGTTCTTCTTCGTACAAGTTGTAGACGATCGTATATTTTACTGGATAGTAAAAGGTCTCAAACATTTGATTTGCTTAATTCGTATTGATTCGTATTAATGGAACGTAGTCGATCTTAAGTTAATGGATGAGAACAGCGACATTGTACGTAGCAAAAGTTCTCTCTCTTAGTGGCTCTCTACGTTTATCAATACGATCGAATATCTCTCATTTATTTTACTTTGAAATCAAATTCAGAAATAAAATGAACAATCGTAAAAGCGTGTCAATAAAAAATAATGCAGTATAGAATACTGAGAATTAATAAAATACTAAGTGATAAATAAAATTTGTTTCTTGCATATTTGCTAGAAACAATTTTTACATGCAACTAGAAAATTACGTTATTGAATTGAAAAATGTACTAATTTATTAGACAAATTAGAATTTTAATTAAAAATAAATTAGATTTATTCAACTTTTACTTTTTCTCTTACCTGTGCTATTTGATCGAATCTGCCGAAGAGCTCGTTGAGTGTCTTTACGAGATCGGAAGCCGAGAGCTGTTCCGAGAGCGGTGTAAAGTTGACAATGTCGGCGTAGAGAATGCTAGACAATCAACAATAATACTCTTTCTAATTTTATATTTTAAGTGATGCATAAATAAAGAATAATACATATATTAATAGTGTTAAAAAAATTTAAGTTTAATATTTACATTATCTTTTTTATGTGTAAATTGAAACAGAATGAAGAAATAGAATATCTTTAACAAATTATTTAATAACTTATTTAATAAATTATTTAACACTTTATAAGAAAGATAATAATATTAAGATTAACTTTGAACATGTACATAATATATTTTTGCATTCTCAAAGAAGTACTTTAAAAGACAAATGAATTATACGTTTTCATACATTTTATATTATCCGAACTACCTTGGTCAAGAAATATACCTCAAAGAAAGGGACATTGAGAAAATATTCGCCTTTGATCGATCGACATTTGAGTCGGATGCTGCACAATTGTGCAGTCACGTGACGTAAATTCAAATGCATCGCTAGATATCAATGCATAAATAAAAGAAGAGCGATCAAATATGTGCAGCGCGCATTTAATTTAATGCAATCGATATTAATTCGTGACCCAAATAATCTACGGGAGCGAGAAGCAAATACGTGTCTCTTAAAAACACTGATTAAATTATTTCTGTTCTTAACCTTGTAAAGCCCGTCGTTATCTTATTTTTAACATTTGTCTTGGTGAATTGATCAAATATTCATATGAACAATAGAAATCTTCTCGCAGTAAAGATATCGAGAAGTAACCGCAATTAAAATATTTAATTCTCATACAAAATAAAGATTGTTATTTATTTTGAATTTAACTAACAATATATAACAATTAGGAAATATTCTATAAAGATTTATTTCATTATAATGTGTGTTATCAATTTTAATGACGTACCTGACATTATTATGTCGCTGCACATACATCTCTTGAAAGGTGGTTTGCTTATGCTTATTAGCCTCTTGACAAGCATCCGCCATTTTCAACATTATACTCCTTTTTACCTGTAATAAAATATGTTATATGAATAGACTTTTTTTCTGCATGAATACCTATATATCATTTGTACAAATATTATAGTTATTATAAATACGTCACTGCTTAAATTGACGATTGGATTAAATGTTTATTTATTCCTATGACGTATCGAATTGTAAATTTCCGGATTATGCCACAACGTATCGACAAAACAGTGTACACCGTAGTCTTCGATTAGTGGATTTGCACGCGAATCACTCATCCAAGGTCGTAAATTATTCATGTGACCGGTAAATACGCGTCCATACGCGTTATTTGCAATGGTGGAAAATAATCGGAATTTCAATTGCAAACAATTTTAATAAATAAATAAATCCTCTCCATATGTATTATTAAAAATAATCAATTCTTTAATCAAACCGTATAATAATTTACAATTGAAAAAATAATAGAAATAAAAGCGTAATTGAATAACAGAGTAATCCGCCGGATTATTTTTTAACATTTAAGATTATTCAATCTCCAGCGCTATCAGTGTTTTAAAATCATCTTCGATATTGTAATACTAGTTTGCAGGAGTTTATCCAGTGTAAGTCGTACGCGGTATTATAAGAGTGTGTAGCGAAAACCGAGGAATCGATGATCGATAGGAATCAAGAGAAGACGCGACATTTTTGTATGTGATCGTCCTGAAATAAATATCCACGCCCTCAATATATTATATGTTATTATACTTGCAAACTTTTTTTATCTCTCTCTCTCTCTCTCATATTAATTAATAACGACACTTTACGAAAACTTTCTGACTGCTCATCTATTTCTTAAATAACTAACATCAATCTTCTACTATCCATATCTTTCATTTCAAGCTAAGTTATTATACTACGATGTGCAGTTTAATTTCACAGAGAACTTTTGCATCAATCTTTTAATTGCTTCCGTTGGCAAACTTGTCGCAAAAGTTGCAATCTGATTTTTATCGCAGTACGATATTTCTTAAATCGATTTGCATCAAGAGATTGCACACAAATCCTTGTACGTAAGTTGTGATGGAGAAAGTCGTTTAAAATCGATACATTTACTTCTTTTTACACGAAAAAAACTTCTTGCTTCGACAAGAGGAGAAAACAGATGAAAACAACTGTAAATCTCATCTGACATAAAATTTGAATCTAAAATTTCATTCGACAAAAGATATTAATTAATTAAGGATTGCATATAATGCCACATAGATACGTACGGACGCGCAGTAAAATTATTCATTGCGATTGTTTCCATAATGTACCGCAATCATGATTTAGATTACGCATAATTTCACGCGATACATTTTTATAGCTCACCTCTGCAGCAATATAGGCGGGAATAACGCTTAACAATAATTGCTCCTGTTGTTCCCTCTCGCATTCCAGCTTGATTCGCGATTCAATCACCGTCTTCGTACCGGAGAACGTTTTTCGATGTGCTGTAGCGGTCAGGATTCTGTAGTACATGCCTGCGAGAATGGCAGCCAGGAAGAACACGATTTCCACGATAATCTGTGAAAAAAAAACTTTTTTTTCCTGAAACGCCTGCGTTAATTTAATTAGATTCTTAAAAACCTCAATTTATAACGAGAAGCACGATAAATTGTTTATTACAATATAACATCGAAATGCACTTTCAGAAAATTACATTAACTTACATTAACTTTTACAATATATGTACATGCGCTGTAAGTTATTAATCACAGCGCATAGGTAAAAATGGTTATACAAGCTTTATTGTATGAAGCACTGAAGTGAGACACTTTACCGTAAAGAATAAACTCTAAAAATTAAAAAATTCCACAATTTCCGATTTATTATTATTTAGCTCTCAGCTAGATTTACCTGAATTATGTTGTAATAATCCGAAAGATAATAATCGTCGAAGATAAGTCTTCTTGCAACGTGTGCGACTACCAGAGTGCATCCGGTGATGAGAGGTATTTGCCATCTCATCTTAGGCAGAATTGCGATTATCGACAGGATGCAGGCGAACAAGGGCAGGACGCTTCTTAATATTAGAATTCCTAGACCGAATATCACGGAGGACATTAAACCTATCAATATCCTGGATCGTTTTGAAGTCATAGTCGAGGGCAATTGTGTGATCACCAAAAGTGTCAAAGAGGCGATGAGCATGATCGTCAATGTTGACACTGATACAAGATCGGTCACGTGGAACAATTCCTGAAAAATAAATTAATATTGCACAGGCAATTTTTTGTGATCCCGTCTTCGATCAAATTAAGCACAGTTTATTTTTCACATTTCACGCGAGTTTTCGATATTCCGCTGCTAATATTTATTTAATGTAATTCAAACGGGTTTTATGTTTCCAATATTTTTACCAGCCCAAAATAATTTGAAGCTGATAAATTTAAAAATTGTTAATTATGCAGCGGGGATAGTCAGATATCGATTGAAATGCGATATGGAAACGAACGAAAACGCATGGATGAGAGAGATTGAATAAACTTAAACGAATTTTGTCCAAGTTTTATCGAACTTTTCTCGCAAATGTTGTTAAGACTTAGATACTTTTTTAAAGTCTGGAGTTTTTGTTAGATCTTTTTTTTATGAGTTTTGAATCTAAAAATAAATTTGTTTTGCTCGGCGACTGATTTCACATCTATGTCACTTTTTGTCACCGAAATGCGAGAGAAAACTTTTCGATTTGAGATAAATCACGTTATCAATTTTCTTGCGAATTACTGACTCAAAATGATCAACAATGTCCATTCTCGGAGTTGATCTTAGTACACGGCGTTGTGTGTATTTTCCGTAAATCTATCGGTTTGAACATGCTTCCTCGTTTGTCTCGATCTTCCTGCCTTTGATATCAATATTAATTCTAGGCTCCGTTAACGAAGCCGTGCGGTTCAATTTCAGCACACGGCTTGTTAACTGAGTTCGCAAAGAATACATATATGCACATTGCCAAGAGCTATCTTAGACCAATATCGATTCTTACAAAGAAGAGCTAGATGGAGTTTTAATTGAAAATTAATTACTGTGTCGATTGTTATCCTCTAATCCTTCTTTTAAAGGAAAATTTGGAAAATACAGACATCTTAAATATATTGACTTTTGCAAATAATGATTAAATTCAATATAGCAAGATACAAAAAGTATTTCACGAGAAGATTTTTATAAATTCCAAATTTTTTAAATCCTAAAGTTATACAAATAGATAATTTATGTCAATATACATATAACGAAAATTTATTTTTTAAACAGATTGTTTTTACTTTGGAAATTTAAATTGATAAGTAACTGTTATTTAATTAATTTCCAGAAAAAATATATCGTACATTTTGGAATCACCTTATGTCATATGGAATTATTAATTATTAGAATACTTACATGATAGGCGGTGATACACAGAGCACCTAGAGCGATCAGCGAAGCGACGGCAGCAATGCAGAGCGCTCCTGTATAGAGAGATGCCGTCAGTTTTCCCTCGTACTTGTCGCGAAGCTCTTGAAGTTCCTTAACGCCAGCATCGTCGCCCGCACCATCGCCAAGACTCTCTGGAGAAGAAAACGTTGCCATACGTTAGCTTTTCTAAATTATTGCGCACATAAAAATGCGCAGAAAATATCTATGAGAAAGAATTTCTAGATAGAAGAAAAGTCGAGAAATTCGAAATGTCTTGCACAATATATATTGCAAGGCAACAATCGTACTACTAATATTAGAACGAGCGACTTACATTCAATTGTTAATAATTACAAGATTGAGAATCACGATTTTGACTGATTGTGAGAGTGTATTAGGATTTCGAATAAGAAAGTTTTTTACTCAAAAATATACATTTTCGAAATGATAAATACATAGCTCTAGAAAACAAGTGACTGACATCAATCTAGAGAGCGACGTAAGTAGTATGAGCCAACTTATATATATATTAACATTTTTTACATGTAATTTAAACTTTGTCTTTCCATTTTTATACTCTATCAAATTGAAGACCCGAAATTCTGAATACAGTGTATTATTACAAAGAGCAGAGATACATAATGATATTTACTTTAGTGTACTAATCAATATGTTGTGCAATATAGTTTAGACATATTGAAGCTCTATACCGCTTATTGCAGTATAAGTAAACGGTAATAAACTATAATACTGTTTCAGACATAATCCAACAGGAAATTACTGACTTAATACATTTGACTTCTGTTTAGAAAGGGCTTTCACGTTGTAATGCACAGAATTCTAACTAAAGGTTACATGACGTACGTTGCATTGTGGAAACTTCAGTCATAGTAAGGTCTAATTAATTGCTCAGCTCAAACACGAATGAAATTTGCATCATAGATAACATAGTAGATGAATTTATATTAGGCTCTTCAATAATTTTGTGAACGCCTATTAATTGTAACGACACATAATTAATTATGTAGTTCATGTTAGGCTTTATATATTTATTGTACTATAAAATTTGCGCATAATTTGCATTACAATGGATGATCTTCGATTGTATGCGCTAAAATATGCATATAATAGATTATGTATACATTTAGATATATGAGACTATGTTATTTTCTATATTTTTTCCATATATTTATTATATGATACTGTATAATGTATTATATAATTTTCATATTTCCAATTTTAATGTATATTTACATATCTGTATATCTGTATATTATTGCATCAAATATTTTGCAAAGAATGTAACAATATGTAAAAAAGTCTTTGCGATTCGTCAAGAGTCGTTAAATTTTTTACAGCTTTTTTCGCAAAAAAGTATGTATACATTACTGTGCGTGTTTTAACAATCAATTCCTTTTGTCGTGCGAACGATGGGTAACGGCGAGCATAAATTAATAGGCTTAGGACAGTTAATTGGAAGAGGTTTAAAGAACGAGTAGAAGATTAAGATCGATGCGTAAGAATTTGGAGTGAGCACAAACATAATTACACTGATCAATAATTATAATTTTCATACTTAATTATAAACAGATAAAAGAAATAAAAATAAAACTGAGGACGGAATAATTTTTATAAAAATATACAGAGAAGTAACATAAAATTTTGTTTGATCTTAAGTTAAAGAAAATAAAATATAAATTCGAGAAAAAATAGAATGAATCCTTTGTGTGTAATTTAAAAGGTATCATAATACTATTTTAAAAAGGTTATATATTTTTACTTATTATTATCAAATATTTATAGAGATAAATGTGGCATTAAAATTTGATTATTGGCTGCATTTTAATTCCAAATAATATTTGGAATTAAAATGCAGTTAGTCATATTTTTTTGTAAATTGTATCTTTGTAAGCGCGACAAAAAGATCTCATTTAATATCACGAAGTTTAAAGGGTAATGTGCGTAACGAATATTGCTTTCGTGTAATTTTGCACGATAAGGGAATGCGTGTCAAGTTATAAGGCAAACTGAATTGCTCCACATTCTTCACAAAACGTTTCTCCTTCGTCTTTTACCACCTTCATAAAAATCCTAACACTTTTTATTGTGCGCTGTATTTTCGCCAATAGATGTTACTGTCTTCATATAGAATGAAAAAAAGACTCGATTGAATCAATCAGATTTTGTTAGTTTGATTGACAGTCTCCAAAATAGCACTCTTGTCAATATCGCGATCCTCTTCTTTGATAAATCTTCTCGATAGAAATCTGATATATAAACGATATGCTAAGAGAGAGCAGTTTGATTATATTTAATGATACATAAACAAGCCTATTAAATCTGACTGGCACGCTGAGTGCAAAGGATTTCGACAAAGTGCGCATGTGTTCATCAGTGAGCATTTACATTTTTATTACAATATGTAAAGTATTTCATAGTACATATTTATAAACTTTTGAATATTATATCGTAAATCCGCGTATTATATACACAAAATATTTATTTCAAATTTATATCTGTATTGTCTTTATATTTAAAAAAAATATTATTTTGCATTCTTTGAATTTCAGTATTTCAAGTGAATACTTTGTGCGGTACTCATTGTTATTTTAAAGCGATTCATTCAGTCCAGCAAAATATTATTCATTTTATCTCACTAATTTCATCCAGTTTTGAATGCTGTTATATCGTGATTTTCCATCAGATTTTATTACAATAATCTTGCTTTGTCTTTTAATCTATTTTTTTTATAGAGTTTAATCTGCAATTTGTGAATATTTGCAATATTTCTAATCAAATCACGTACGATGAAGAAGGTGTAGTCACGCTTCGCACGACTGTGATATCTACTACGAATGCATTAACTTAATTGATCGAAATTGTCGTTGTTGCCGACTAAACGAATCAACCTAATCCGCTAATGAAACAAGTCGCATTCAGACACGCGATCGCTGCTAGCTCGCGATCGATAGCTAGTAGTTCGATGTTATTCAAGGGCGGTGGCGTCGGCGCGGACGTTGGCGTCGGTGATCCTAATTAGTCACTGATCTTTTGCGCGGAATGTGCAATTAGGCATCTTGTTAAATTGATCGTGACGCACACGAAATTATCATTATTCTGCTTGCGATCGTTACATGTGTCCTACGTGAACGTCGCATTATTTCCATAATTCGTGATGCGTAAATCACGATAATATTACGTGACAAGTAACGTAATATTATACAACTGATATTATAATGTGATAATCAACTAAATGAGATAATAATGATAATAAACAGAGCGTGACAAAAATAATATAAATTGTATTACATATATAACATTATTGCATCTATAATAATATACTGCTTAATTCTTGCTTTCTCGTACCAGATTTCCTTCTAACGTAATCAATTTTTGTGAGAAATTTTTTAGACATTGCTATTAATATAAATTTTATTCACGTTAGACTACATTAACGTTTTTATTTCATTTACGGATATTCTTTGTAAAATAGGAACTCTACAACATTTCATCGCAATGTTCTCATTAATTGGATGCTCACTTTTTTTCCTTCTTTCTCGCTTTCTCTCTCTCTCTCTCTCTCTCTCTCTCTCTCTCTCTCTCTCTCTCTCTCTCTCTCTCTCTCTCTCTGTCTCTTCTTTTTGCCACGGATCATCACAATTCGCTACGAAATGCAACGGTGTGGCTTGAATCGCAAAGAATTTTCCCGATATGGATGGAATAGTTCGCCCTTCCTCCGCATTCATATAACTTTCAATACCTTTCGCTCACCACCGTTCGTCACTCATACAAAGCGTGTCCGTATGAAAATTGCGAGAACATCTTTTGCAAGACTAGCTCCACGTGAATCTGAATTTGTATGTTGCAATAATTTTATAGTGATAAATAGTACTAATTTTAATACAGATGTAATATCTTTCTGCTAAAATAGATTTATAATTTAATAAAACAAACTTGCAGCTTTAGAGACATTTTACAATTTTTACCCTAGTAAATATATAAATTAATTATGTTATTAAAAATTACATCCGTACTAAAATTAGTCGGTTTCATTATTATACAAGAGAAAGTCAAAAGTAAAGGGATATTTTCAATTAATTTTCAATCAAAAAAGTCCCTTTACTTTTTGATTTTTCTTAGTACAATTGCTTCTAAAGTAATTTAAAGTATTATTTATAATTAATCTTGAACAAAAGTTCAAGATAAATAAGCTTTAAAAGCTTACCATATTAATTATTCCAATACTTAGAATCCACAACAATTCTTATAATAAAGTTCTAAAGCGGATTTGTATGCCGACAAGTGCAATTTGCTTGTGTCTCAATTAACTCTTTCAAGTTCATTGTTGCACGACTATTACCGTTAATATTGTCTTGAGAAACTCAGATCGGGCGCAATTAGCGCGTTGTCCGCGAAGCAGATTGCGCAGCGTTGCTTTAACGCAGAGAAACGCGTCTTATCATCGCCTCGTGTTGATTACGAACTTCAAACCTCTAAGTTTCGCGATTGCGTCGATTCAGCAATTATTGAACTTTGCATGCTGCGCTGATTTCGCGTTTTCCGCTCGCAACAGTTTTCCACACCACAGTGTGCGAATTTAATGAAGGATGTAACATTGACGCGAGATACGAATAAATGTAAAGCATATATGAAATGTGAAATGTGGAAAAGTCAGCCAATTTTTCACTTTTATTGTTGATTTCGACGGCAACTACGATTTTATTATATCATACAATTTTTTGGAGCTTCAAATGTGCAGCATTTTTGTTCGTTTCTATTTTGCCTCCAGTATATTCATAAAATAGGATTTTTTTTCGTGTATCTGTTATTCATTTCGTGTATATGTTATTTATTAAATTGTCAGAAAACTGCGCAATATAATAACAATTAAAAAAATATTATTTAAGAAAAAATTATTAAGATTGTTATTTTGCTTATTTATCTCATAATATATTTCTCGTTGATCAGAAATGTATAATATGTCATACATTTGTATTTGTCAAATTGCAATATAAATTTGCCTATTTTTTATGCTTTATTTCTAAAAATAAACTTGTTGCGCTTTTTTATTTTCTCGTAAATTAGTCAGGCTTTCACACACAGCATGACGTTACGAAGAATTGATGGTGGCGACTGACTATGCGTGGATTTT